GAATTGGATGTAGTTAGCGTGCCAAGGCCCTTTAGGCTTCGCGCCTCCGGGCGAAATAAATTCCATCCATCCATCCAGGAATACACCGTCGCTCCCTAGGCACCTCGCCTACAGCCGACGTTCGAAGCTGACCGAGAGAAGGCGATCGAGATAGCCAACGGAGCTATAGGCATCGTGATTGCAACCAGCTCATCCGTGAAGAAAGGCATTGTCGGTGTTGGTGGCATCGCACGAGACACTCTCTTCAATAGGACCAGCGAGACCGTGATAAAATTTGCTGTAGCCCTTAGCACGAGGGAGGAGTAGAACCTATATACAGCAGAACTAGCAGCCATCGCAATGGCCTTAGAGAGGATTCCGGCCAACGCCTGCTATAGGCATATCACCATCGTCACCAGGAACCAGTCAGCGCTAGCAGCAATTAGGCAACCGCGACAATAGTCCGGCCAAGGCACCATACGACAAATCTATGAGTTTACTAGACTGCACCAAGAAAGAGGGAAATCGGTCGACTTCCTGTGGATCCCAGCGGAAGCCAACTTTACATTGGGATTAGAGGCTAAGGCGGCAGCGTAAAGGACAACAAGGCAAGGACAGATACCCAACCTCCAAATGCCCCAAGCTAAGTCTACCGCAATCAGGCTGGCATTGGCCAAACAACGACAGGGGAGAGTTCTCCCTGAAGGCATAGGCAAATTCTCAAGGCTCCAGACGTGGCACTTCCTAGCAAGCATACTCGCAATCTATATAACAAGTTGAAACGAAAAGAGGCCTATATCTTGGCATAACTCCGAACTAGAATAGCAAGGGTAAACGGCTTTCTGAGCAGAATCGGAGCAGTCGAATCAGACCTTTGTCCCTGCGGCCGAGAGCGAGGGAAACAGTAGAACATTTTTTATTGCGATACGTAAGATAGGCAGCTCTGAGGGAAGATATGTTGCAATGCACAGTGGCAAGGCGATGGAGCCTCTCATTCTACCTAGGAGGGAAAGCACCATCGGATCTAAAGATATGGTCGCCAGATATAAAAGCAGTCCGGGCAACGATCAAGTACGTAATGGTGGCAGGGAAATTGGATCTTGACGAGGAACGACGAAGATTGGGATAAATATAGTAGGGGAGCTCCACTAACACTATGCAGCCTTCAGCAGATACCGCTTTAGCTGCTGAAGATAGGACGCTGAACACTTGGAGAACGCAGCCTCCAAGTCGATCTGTTAAACTAAGTCAAGAGGCAACAGGCGGCGTGAGAAAAGGGGAGAGAGTACAGGGCTTGTACGAGTTGATGGTTGAACGTCAACGAATTGGATATAGTTAGCGTGACAAGGCCCTTTAGGCTTCGCGCCTCCGGGCGAAATAAATTCCATCCTCCCATCCATCCATCCCAAGGCGACATACTTCCGACATAAATCGCGATAAGTCTACTTTCGGCTGAAGAAGGTACTTCATTCGCTAACGATTATCTTCCTCTGGAACGAGATTACAAATCGAGGGATACTTTGTTCGCGTCAATCAACGCTTGGGCTACGACTAAGGGCTACACATTCAGTACTAGGAGGTCGACCAATGTGAGGATACGCGCACAACCAACCCACTCGGCTATGTCGTATCTCCCTGAAAAAGGGTGTCGAATCGCAAGTCGCTCCGACATTGCAATCCTGTGGGTTATATGTGGGTCACAGCGCAGCTGCCCCATACTGCACTCTGACAACCAAGGAGAAAAAGTGGTAGACAGACGATTACGTATATATATGATGGATTCTATCGTCCCCCTAGTTCATCGAGAGAACGCCAGCGGAGGACAACTACCCGAGGAACCAACTACCTATCTCAGTCCTAGCCAAAGAATCTCTAGATAAGGATACCTAGACCTTACGGCTCGCTCGAGTGCCGTCGAGGTGCGCGCTTGCCTTCCTCGCGCGTGCCCCACCTGCCCTGGCATTTAACCTCTGCATCGCGAGAGCTCTTCCAGCTTCTCTTCCTTTGCTCCCATCTTGCGATTAGCAGAATTGAGTCAGCAATCGCAGTGCCTGCGTGCCTCGCCTCGATGCTACTCGTCTCTCACAACACCGTTGTTTATCCAAGGCAAACAAAGGTCCGCTATGCTGACAGGCAGGCCGACCTCCCGCAACAACCTCCACTCCGCCTCGCTCAACCCATCTTCAACCACCGCCGCCTACCTCAAAGTAGCTATCTCTATTTCGCGTCCTCCTGCCACACCGTCTGTCGGCAGTCCTATGTCCTTTGCAACCAGATAAACTGACAACCGCATCCTATATCCTTTCCGTAGTTTGAATAACTCTACGTCGTTGGTGAACGTGGTGAATATATGTATCAAGAGCACGGATAGCCTGGCGTCGGCTTTGTGGAGCAGGCCGTCGTGTCGACGCTACCGCATTCCCTGTTCTCAGCTCGTGATTTCCCCTGCTGCTGCCTGATGGCAGAGCTCGATTGGCTGCTGTGTTGTAGTGCCGCAAACGCGTTTGGTTGGCTGAGAAACAACATTCGCAACGCGTTTGGTCGGCTAAGAACAAGATTTGCAACGCGTTGGTGGAGCTTATGGTCAAGGTGATGTTGGGATCACACCCAGGTATAGATGGGAAACGGAAGTTGGTAAACGGAATAGTGAAAACTGGATGTTTATAGGTTCCCTGCCGTTCTATTCAAGAAAACGTCTTTCAATACGTGACCCAGCTCTGCTTGAGTCAGCAATTCGACATGAAAAGTAAGTGAACTACCAGGTCCAGGTTCACGTTCTGGGCCTCCCCGCAATAACGACAGCTTCTTGTCTTCGTTTCTCTTTTTGCTGGGGACGCCCTTCCGTTTCTCTTTCCCATCTGAACACGGCTACCAAGAACGCTGAATGGGACGGCAACCACGAACAACCCCTTGAAGATTATAATGGATCACGTTGAACAGGTCGGGTCCCGTGGTCCCATCAAATTCTTTGACATGTGTCCTATACAAGGAGCGCCTCTCCCTCTTTCAAAAGCATACGATATTCGTGTACCTGCTCAGCTTCACAATACAAGCTACACCACTGAGTGCGCGCCTCCAACTTCCCCCACGCTTTCACACCCGACTACAAGAGTGTTCCAGGGACGAGCCCAAGACTACCTCAAAATATGCAGAGCCTTGGTAGGAGGATAACCAAGAAGATGTGGCGCTCACACCAGGAACCTTGCTGCGTTCCCTCGCTACAGACTACCGCACTGCAGCCGGAGGACCTGGACGGCGCGTGGGACCAAGACGGCCGGTGGAGCCCGCGAACATCATGTAGCCAGAGTCGACCAGAGACACCGCTGCGAACAGCGGCACCAACCACCCCCAAGTCCAGTGTGTCCTTGGCCGCCTCGAGAAGCACAAAAACACAAGACGATATCGCCCATGGTCATTCACGGTGCCCTTCAGTAGTCCATGTCCCTTTGCTGCTCTGCCCACGCTTTGGAGAGGAGACAGACAGCACGATTTCTATCAAGCCTAGCTTTGAACACGCATCGCCTTCTTCGTCCCGAACGGTGTCGAGCTTCAGATATCCAACCTCTTCACTGGCAGGATCGACACCGTGCAGAGGGGCCTTCGACGGGACAAATTTTGAGCATCAGCTTTCCTGCGACCGTTCAGTCGAGCTCGTCTGGAGCAGGCGCATCCATCCCGTCAGCAGGGTAGACGTCGATGGTGAGACAGCCTTTCGAGTGAATCTGCTGTGTTTGCGGGATATGGCCACTCTCAACACCAAGCTGTCTACGCCAGAGAGCCGAACCAAGAAGCAGGGGGAGGACTCGAGCCCTCTGAAAGGGCCGGGCGAGGGCCCTGGCAGCCAGCTCAGGGCAGCCTGTAAGGGGCTGTTACCTCGAGACCTCGGTAACGCCAATCGCCCCTACTTTCGACTTCCCAACCACATCCGGTTTAAGATTATGGAGCACACCCTGGCAAGCCAGAATCCCCACCACAAACCCATCCGCATGAATCACCCCCGTTTCCTCTGCGAGGCATGGCCTGTTAACCGACCACCGGGTGCCAAGATATGGTCAGAGGACTACTTCGACAGCCTCCAGAGTGTTCTCTCCTCCCTCCGAAACTACACCTCCGTCTGTCCCGCCATGCGAGCTGATGTCTTGGCTACACTGTTCCTCACACGCCGCTTCCACGTTGTTTACTCACCCTATGTGACCAGGGAGTTAGAGATGGCTGCGACATATTACATGGACCGCTACGGCCCGCTGATGGCATCCATCACCCTTGAGGTGGACTTCACGAAACTCGGCGGCGGATCAGAACCCGAGGCGGTGAACTCGAAGCTAGATTCAAGCTTCCAGAGAGTCAAACAACTCGTGGAAAGATTTGTTTGGTCCCAGTTAACCCACCGCAGAACCGCCATCCGAGACCTCCGTGTTCTCGTCAGGCGATACCACGGACACCGCCCGCAACCACCCACCTCTCCAAAGACGACCAAGCACCGGGTTACAGAGAAGAAAACGGGCAAGCCACCAACCACCACCACCACTCTCACCGAACCATTCCCACCCATGCCTTCCACCGCAGACGCTCTCGTATCAAACACCCTCGCCCCCCTCAAATCCCTCGGCCCGCTAGTCCAAACCCTCACCGTCACCGGCGCCCCTGAGTATTTTGCCTCCGAACTCATCACCTCCCTCTGGGGCACCAGCAAGGTTCTGCTCGCGAATGACACCGAACAGATTGCGCGCCACATCACCTACCGTTTTCCGGCGAGGGAGTACCCACTTCTTCCGGGGCAGAGGGCCGTTGTTGATTATGGTCCTGGTCCCGGTCCGCGGGGAGAGAAAGACGGAGAGGGTGAGGGTAAGGTTGGGTTGCAGGTAGTTGTGGGTGATCAGCGGGGGGTTGCAGGTGAGGGATGGGAGGGAGTGGGAAATAGATGTAGGCTGTTGGTGAGGGAGGAGGGGAGGGCGAATAGTGGGGTTGGCGGTGATGAGGGCGGGAAGGAGAAGGGCTTCTGGAGCAACAAGGGGGGCGGGAGAGTGGCGAGGAGGTTGAGTGAGGGCGTGAGGGGTCTCTTTGCGTTGCGAGGGAATGAGAAGGAGGGAAAGGGTACGGAGAGCAGGGAGCGGGGAATAAAGGTGTTGGAGGACCCAGAGGTGAGGTCTGGAGAGGTGGAAGCGGAGAACAGGCACGGGAGCCCCGAGGAACAAATCAGGCCAAGGGCAAGGAATACCGTCCGTACGGGAAGGAAAGGGCTGTTTGGCCATTACTAGTAGTAAGCCTGCTGCTTTGGGTTGCTGCCGTTTGAGCGAAAGGGAGGCAAGTGAGCAGAGTTACTAGGCACCTCTTCTGGGGCCGGACAGACCATGCGTTAAGGGTATGGAAGAAAATACATTCCTTATATTGAACACAGCCATGAATGATGGCTAGTGTGTACGGATCCGTACCTCGATGGTCTTCGTGGTCGACACGTCGTCTGCTTACGTCACACCCCGTTAAAGCCCGGGGCTCCACAACGGAGTGTTCCCAGCCAGAATCCGCGGCCATAACCGTCGACCGTGCCGACTACCGAGTATAGATGCCGTCACAACTCAACCTCCAACTTACAACCAAGGTCAAATTAAAACACCGAATATTCAGTGATTAGTAGTTATCAGCAACTGCAGCAATCCATCTCTTCAGAATGGCACCCAAAACTCCGCCCCCGAAGGTGCCGACGGTCGCCGAGACGCTCAAGCATCCTGCCTATCCAACCGCAATCTGGAACCTGGAGCCAGATCGTAAGGGCCTGGTTCCCGTGGCCGAAGGCCGGGGCGGGCCCTTGAACATCTCATGGGAGATTCACGGTGCCGGCCCAATCAAGCTCTTTGTAAGCATCGCCTCCCGCTCATCAGCTCCATTCACTCACCACCGTAGTTCATCATGGGCCTCGGCGGTCTCAAATCCGCCTGGCAGCGCCAAACCCTGAACTTCGGTCACGAGCGACGCGACCAGTACTCGGTGCTGCTCCTAGACAACCGCGGCATGGGCGACAGCGACAAGCCACTGATGCGCTACAGCACGAGCGAGATGGCGCGCGACGTCGCCGAGGTGCTCGCCCACCCGTCCGTGGGCTGGCTCCCCTCCTTTCCCCTCCCCTCCCAAGTTGAACGCACCCTCCACGTAGTCGGCATCTCAATGGGGGGAATGATCGCGCAGGAGCTGGCGGCGCTCATCCCCAACGCCATCTCCTCCCTCTCGCTGGTCTGCACGGCCGCCGCCATCGAAAACACCACCACCTGGGCCGAGAACATGGCCCAGCGCGCCTCCCTGCTCCTCCCCAAGACAGTGGACCGCTCGGTCGCCGACACAGCGCGGCAGATCTTCTCACACGAATGGTTGAACCAGCTCGACGACGTGCACCTGCCAGACCCAAAGACCACGCCCAAATGCGGCCCGCCCCTCACCCCCTCCAGCCGCACTTCCCCCGTTGATGACAGCAGCAGCAGTAGCAGTACTGGTCCAGCATACCTCAAGTTCGACACCAACGCGCAGCGCTTCGTGGCCCAGGAAATGCACAAACGCCTCGACACCTCGGGTCGGTTCGGTCTCAAGGGATTCCTCCTACAAATGATCGCGGCGGGCTGGCACCACAAAAGCCCCGCGCAGCTGGCCGACATGGCGGACCGGGTCGGGCGCGAGCGGATCCTGGTGATGCACGGCACCGAGGACGGCATGATCAGCGTGCCGCACGGCCGGAAGCTGATTGAGTACATCCGGCCGGGCAAGGGCATGATTCTCGAGGGAATGGGCCATGCGCCATTGGTCGAGAGGTGGGAATGGTTCAACCGGGTTGTGGAGGAGCAGTGCAATTTGGGGGAGAGGTTAGATGGAAGGCGGGCATGATTGATTAGTGGTCGTATGGTTAGATCGGGGTTCTGGGTGTTCTGGTTGTGTCCTTTGGGAACTGTATCATTGGAGTAAGGTGAGCTGGGAAAAGGCTGTACATAGAAGGTTTATTTAGCCATGGATGACGCGCTAGCACACTCATGAGAGGGTATCTGCAACATTCTTCAACCGATCCACCTGGGGCACCTGCCTCAGAGCATGACAAAGCCAACCCCGCTCGAAACGCCCTCCTCCAGCTGGTTCCGCTTGTTGACACCGCCATGGATCGGATTCGCCTTGTAGTTGAAGAGATAGTAGTGCAGCTGGCCGTCGCCCGGGCCAAACTTTTGCTGCTCCAGGAACAGCGAGTTGTCCATCAGGGACAGCGCGTTGAACACGTCAAAGTTGTGTCGCTTGGCGAGGATAAGGGCGTCAGCCACCAGCGCATTCAAGCGCGTCTTGAGCGCCGAGCGGTCGTCGGGTGCTGTCAGCGCAACTTCGCTTGCGTAGTAAAAGAGGTACGCGGCGCGGATAGACGAATACTTTTGCGACTGGATGACAGAGGACTCGAGACAGTAGAAGGAGAAGAAGTCGGTGACCTTGCCGTTTGCGTCCTATGCTAGGCATCAGCATGTGGGTCAAAACCGAGTGGTCGAAGATACTAACCTCAACAATATAAGACCAGATGACCTGCTCGCCAGGCGCATCCCACTTGTGAAGCAGCCAATGCTCAACCTCGGCTCTATCCCACATCGGTGTGAGGTCGAACCGCTTCAAGTAGCGCTCTAGGAGATCTTGTACGGCATCCAGGTCTCGGGCCTCCATCTCTCGGAGCCCGCGGGTCGACGTATTTTCGGGCACGTTGTACTTGCGTGCCTGGTATGACGGCTTGCTGTTCGGTGGGCACGGGCTGAACCCAACCTCGTACAGCTTCATCCAGTTGAGCGCACGGTGGTAATACCGGCAGGTGCTCACTGGCCGCGGCAGCACGATGCCGCCCGTGTAAATGGCTTGCCAGACCCCCTCGAGGTTGACCCGCCGCGTGATCTCCTTAATCAGAATAGGGGCAAGCCGCTTGCCTCTCAGCTTCTTGTGGATGCAGAGGAAGTTGACCTCGGCGCTGTGAATCACCTTGTTCCGCACACGCATCTCGGTTGGGATGGCCGAGATGAAAGCGCAGAGGGTGTTGCCGCTGCGGATGCCGACATGCCATTCCTTCCTCCAGCCTGGAGATAGGAGAGACCTGCCCCAAGGGTTAGCCAAAACCCTAGCTTTTCACATTGTCTCGGCGCGTCAACTCACCATCTCAGCAGCGAATTAGAGTACTTGAACCTGAACATGGCCTCGTCATCCTCCACATAGTGACCATAAAGTAGCTTCTCAACCTCTTCCAACTCCGTATCGTTGGTGAGATCCATGGTGACCCAGCGGAATGGCTCCAGTGCAAGCGGTATTGGTTCTGTGGGTATGTCCTTGACGTCCTGGACTTTCAGCGGGCCCTCCTCGAAGAGTTTGGGCTCCTCCTCGCCAAATTGAGGGACTGGCTGGGTGCTCCAGAACTTGTACGACGCCATGTCCTTGCGATTCTTCCCGCTCGTCGCCAAGCCGGTCATGATGTCCTGGAGCTTGAGCTTCTTGAACGCCTCGATGGCACTGGCAGTCTTGTCCGACGAGCCCTCGCCGGCGGCAAGCTCATTGGCAAGGGCCGGGTTCAGGGCAATAAACTCGCGGATTTGCTCAGGCGTCAAACCTTCGATCGCCTTTCTGGGGTCTGCTTCAGCCTGTGCTGCCGTCATTCCGCCGCGTCCCATAGCATCGGCCAGCGCCTGCTTGACCTTCTTCTTCTTGCCCTTCTTCTTCTTCTTTTTCCCGGACGCATCGCCCTCGCCGCCGGTTTGTGTTTGCGCCGCGCCGTCTCCGGCTTCCGAGCCGGACTCGTCCTCGGACTCGGCGGCGGCCTGTTTGCTTGTCAGGCTGAGTAGCGTCTCAGCAGCCTCCTGAGCTTCGCGTTCTTTGGTCGGATCGACCACCTTCGATTCTTCCGCCATCGTTGGAGGCGCAATTAACTTTTGGGAAAGGAACCGATAAGGGCGAGTCGTGCTTCACTCTCTAGGGCGAAGAACAGACGTGCTCTGGGACGGTCGTTTCTGACCTCAAGAGCCGGAGTGGGGCAGTTTGAGCTTGGCAATCAGCCATCCAACTTCGGCGGGGTGGAGTGAGCTTATCGATAAACAATGTAGTGTGAGTATGTGAGACAAGAGAAAGAGTCGACTACACCCGTGGACGTTTTCAAGTATGTGGTCACCAGACTTGAAAGCAGTCCAGGCAACGATCAAGTACGCAATGGCGACAGGGAGATTGGATCTTGACGAGGAACGACGAAGATTGGGATAATTATAGTAGGGGAGCTCCACTAACACTATACAGCCTTCAGCAGATCCCGCTTTAGCTGCTGAAGATAGGACGCTGAACACTTGGAGAACGCAGTCTCCAAGTCGATCTGCTAAAACCCAAGTCAAGAGGCAACAGGCGGCGTGAGAAAAGGGGAGAGAGTACAGGGCTTGTACGAGTTGATGGTTGAACGTCAACGAATCGGATGTAGTTAGCGTGCCAAGGCCCTTTAGGCTTCGTGCCTCCGGGCGAAATAAATTCCATCCATCCATCCATCCGTTTTCAAGTATCCCGGACAACAAGAGAGTTTCCAACTATAGGCATCCTTGATTCAGTCTTCTATCTTTCCAGCCCGCTGCTCAGAAGACTCACTTACGGCTGTGATTGTATCGTTCACACCCCAACATGTGGCGTCTCTTTGACCTGAGATCCCCCTTTCAATGTCGAGTTCACGTCTTCCGCCAGTTTTTTCTTCGCCCACAGTGGTGGTTGTATCTTGGAAGCCAGATACCTCAATGCCCCTGTTCGGCTGGACTGGCTCAGCATTGGCCGAAGCTAGTTCAGCAGCCGGAGCCAAACCCTTCTCCAACTGATACCCTTCGTAGCCAAAAAGGTTATTTTTCTTGAGCAAATCTCTCATTGTGTCCAATACCCTAGGATTGATATCCCGTTAGTGGACACGGTTGCTAGCAGCCCGATTGTTCCAATGGTCACTTACAGAAGCCTATGCCGGAGGTTTCCTGGATACAACGAGGATGCGAGGAGATCGAACCGGCTGAACAAACAGCCTAGCCACGCTATGACCAGGTTTGCAGAAGAGGGTGATCCTTACAGGGCATAAAGAACACCCGACTCGCGAAGTCTTCCACGAACTCAGGCGGTAGATAGTGCTGTTTGTACTCAACAATATATGCATGCGTTATCTTGTGGCGAAGGGGCCACCAGGGGCCCAACTCGTCTGTGAATGTCGTCGTCAGCCAGTCTCCAGCTCAGGTTTAAGGCAAATGCGCCACGGGTAGCGGAGTCGCATCGAGACATATTGGATGGCCAGTGGTCACGTCGACTGAAGCAGTGCCATCCCACAGATCTCCATGCACAAGCGTTGGCGTCAACCTCCTTCGTTCGGTCTCCAGGGGCCGCAGGAGCCGGGGAATAACTAAGAGGCCTTCACGAAGCTGCCGCACTTCGTCTGGTACATGAGTCTGCTCTTCCATGTGGAAGATTCATTCCAGCCCTCTGGACAAGCACCCTTCCCAACTGTCGCACAGGGAAAACGTCTGGATGTCCCTCCCCCCCCCAACAACCTCGCCAAAGTACATGTTAATGGGAAAACCGAACTGGCTCCCGTTTTTGGATTTACTCCGCTTGTGAAACTCGGCAACCAGCTTTGGAAACTCTTTTACGTTTGGGATACTGTCCGAAAGTTCATGGAACCGGCAGACGAAGAAATATGTCGGGTTCCCCAGTGTAAGAACCCCATGCCAGGGGCTCGGGAACCATCACCGGCACGATGCTCTAGAGCAGCGACATGGCATAATACTCGGCTGACACCATGTCCTTGCCATGATCGACGATGTGCACACGGGTTAGCACTAATGGATCCTCCCCCCCCCTCCCCCCTCCCCACCCCCCCACCCTCCCGGGAAGATTCCACGCACCAAGACAGGCTCCTCAGGGAGGTTTCTCCTGTACCGGTCATCATTTAGCTCAGCATGAACACCATCGGTCATGTTGAGCGAGAGCCCAAGGGCTCTCTGGGACTGACGACACTCTACATTCCCTTCACCGACCCGTTGTCGCCTATTACTGACGTGATCGTTGTTCACGGCCTGAATGGTTGTTCCCGAGGTACTTAGAGCAAGGGAGGCATCCCTGAACGCTTCTGGCCTCGCGAATGGCTGCCAGAATGTGCACATTTACACGTTTGGTTGCCTGTCTGAGTTTACTCGAGAGTCAGTCATCAACATTGCCGACATTGCACGGTCTCTGCTTGCTGCCATCAGACCCTCCGTTAATGAATAAGGGGAAACGGATACGTTCAGTTTGCGAGCTTTTGTCGGCAACCATGGTCGGCTCTTGATATGCCGGTTTGGCGAACCCACATCAACCTCACTTATCCTCAGTTGATCTTTGTCGCCCATAGTATGGGGGGGCTCATTGTCAGGAAGGCTTGTATCGTTGGACATCGGGAAGTGGAATTTAAATCGGTCTTCGACGCATCCTCCATTTTCTTCTTAGCAACTCCCCACCAAGGCGCCGCGATTGCGCAGACTCTCTCACAGCTGACTGCTGTAATCGGACTGCGCCCCTTTGTCGAGGACCTGTTTCTTCAGTCGCCAGTCATTCAAACCCTCTGCGAGGTTTCCCGCGCGTCAGTAGTGATATCCAGTATTCTCCCTCGACGAAACATGACCAACGACGGTTGGAGTCAACAAAAGCTTATCGTCGAGCAGTCCAGCGCTGTCATACCCCTCGCCAATGAAAGAAGGACCTTCCTCGATACAGACCATCGCAACGTGGTCATGAATTCGACACCGGACGACCCCTCCTACCACCCCATCAGAAACGCGCTAGCAACCGTCATGTCATTTCAACGAGACTCTTCTCAACTCTAGAAACGGGTCGCAGCCGAAGACGACCAGGAGGCGCTCAACCGGTTTTGGGGTGTCTCGGATGCCTCCTAAGACGACGTCATGGTGCAAGAATCCATCAAGCTGCCCAGATCGTGTGAATGGCTCACCAGCGGACTACTATCAACTCAGGAAAGGGTCGATGGCTTCGTCGACGTATGGCTCTGCGGTCGTCCTGGAGTTGGCAAAAGCGTCTTGTCAAGCCATGTCATTGGCGACCTTCGCAACCAAAGCCTAGACTGTTGTTTCTTCTTCTTTCAGGCGCGGGATAATGTCAAATCGACGACAAGTGGCTGCTTGCGGTCCGTGTGGCATGGCAGATGGCGATGTCGCATCCTGGTGTCCACGACAAGTTGAAGGCCATCCGATCAGACTGGAGCGACAGCCCGATTGACGAGATCGACTCTCACTCTGTCTGGAGAAAGGTATTTCTTTCGGGTATTCTCAAGGTCAATATGAGCAGGCCTCAATTTTGGGACATCGACGCCATGGACGAGAGTGAGGGCGCAGCTGACATGCTCACCTCTCTTACCCGCATCCAAGAACATTGGCCGATCGCGATTCTTGTCACATCAAGAGACACCATGGAAGCGCACCAAAATGGTGCCAGTCCGAACCGCAACATCAGGACCTACATGATCTCAGAGCAGGATATCTTGCAAGACATCTCGATCCTGCTCAAAGCCTACCTCAAATACCTACCGTCCTGGGTCGGCCAGATGGCCCAACCCCGATGAGATAGCCTCACAGATTCTCAGGAGGTCGGAAGGTTGTTTCTTGTGGGCGTCCATCATCTGTTCGGAACGCCGCCAAGGCACAAGCGAAAGGGAGATTATGAGGGTCATGGGGAGCACACCCTCCAACATTGATGCTATCTATCGCGACATCCTGGCAAAGATGGAAGCCGCACCCTTTGGGAAGGCGGTAACGAAAGCCTTCATTGCCTGGACAACTACGCCTTTTGGCCGCTCAACGTAGCCGAGATATAGACGCCCATTGAATGGACATCAATGACAAGATTGATAATGTTCAACACGCCATTTCAAGGTGTTATGGGAGCCTCGTGTGCGTGGATCAGTACGAACGGGTCCAGTCTGTTACACAACAGCCTGGGAGTTTTTCACCCGCAAGGATGTCGAGTCAGAATTCGTTCTCACAAGAGCACAAGGCCATCGTCGACTGGCCATGGTGTGCCTGAAATTCCTATCACAGGATCCTCGGGTGCCGCTGGCAAGTCAAGAAGACTCCTCCCTGAGCCGGACCCTGCCCAGCTCCGACGCGGCCGCCCACGCTCTCCCCAGCCGTCGCCTCAAGTCGCAAATCCCTTTACATACTACGCCTCTAACTTTCTGTTTCAGCATCTGAGCTTCATCCACTCAGATGACGAAGAGTTGCTTGTCATGCTCTCCAACTTTTTAGGGAGCATCAACTTTCTCCGCTGGGTTGAGTTCATCGTCACTAACGGAGATCCACGCACCATCTACCAAGCCGGGACAAGACCGTCAACTACATTTCGGATCGCAGGGCTCAGCACTCACCACCTGTCGGCCTTGCAAAGAGGTAGGCAGAACTCGCTCTCTTTTGGAGAAATGGGGAGACGACTTGATTCATCTGATCACCAACTTCTCTGGGTGGTTAAGACGCTCACCCCAGGCAATCCACCATCTGATCCCCCCTTTCTGTCCCCCGGATTCAGCTATCCGTCGGCAGTTTACGAACCCTATCCGAGGGCTCAATGTGCAAGGTTTGTCCATGGACGGCTGGAACGACTGCCTCACGACGACAACGTATGCCGACGGTATGAAATCAAACATGGTGGCTGCCGGGTCAGGATATTTTGCATTCGGCATGATGCACATGGCCGGGCAAGTCTTGGTCTATGACGACACTATCTTCCAGGAGCTCCATGTCTTCTGCCACAAAGAACCCGTTTGGGGCCTGGCATTTGCGGAAAGCGGCAAATATCTCGCCTCTGCAGGCACGAGAACAGTCCGCCTGTGGTCGACAGCTGACTGCTCGGGACTCGTTTCCTTCAAAATTACCTCTCTGTGCCTCAGCCTGGGATTCCTGGTGGAGGATTCCATCTTGCGAATTGCAACGAAACAGAACCGGTTGATTGAGTGGGGCATCGAAGCCAATGCGTTCATCTACGATGAGCTACTTACCTTGACGACCGACTTACCAGACAAGATGCAATCCAGAACACCAATGTTGGCGGAGCTGGACGCTGCCTCACAGCTTCTCACAGTTTTGTACGGAGGCGAGAATATCAATCCCTGGGACTGCATCGAGAACCGCATCTATGATACATACGAGGAGACTGGATCCGTGCAGATCTTTGGCAGCCGCAAACTCGCCGTGGGCGTAACCACTGCCGGGCCGCCGCGTTCGGCCACACCCTTGATACCGACCTCTTTGCAGCCACTTACACTGACGGTGATCTCATTGTCTACGATATTGACATTGGCACCCCCGTTGCTTCCGCAGAGGGAGCAAACACAATTGTCTTGGCGGCTTTCCGCGACGGCCGGACGCTCGCTGGAGCTGACTCCGCAAGGAATTTCTCGCTATTCGAGTTCGAAACACTCCGCCCACTCTATCGCGTCCGGTTTGACACTCAGATCCTGCCACAGCACTTTGCACCACGTCGGACAGCCTGCGATTCATCGAAGTCCGCGGTGACCAATGCCGGGTCTGGGAGCGCCGTGTTCTTCTTCGCACGGATACGCAGGATGATGACAACAGCGACACCGTCTCCGTGTCAACCCGGCCCAGGAAGTTGACCACCAGATCGTCACCGGAGTAGGCCCGGCACTCTACGCCATCGCTTGTAGCGACCAATCCAGCGTGGTATCTGTGGGATGGAGGACGGGCCTGTTTTGGCCCATGACACTTCGGGACCAGAGCCTCACAAGCAGCTCTTGCTCGTCCAAACCATGCAGTGTAGGGTGAACTTGCTCCATTTCGATGGCCGAGGGTCTATCCTCGCTTGCGGTGACCTTTCGGGGAGGTTCACAGTGAGAGAGGTCTCTCGGTCCAACAACCCACGGCGAGGGAAGACGTGGGTTGTAGGGCTACCGCTCGTGGATGGCCACACCCGGGGTTAAGGCACAGGGGTGTTGGTCAAGTTCTAGCCTCTTCGCGCGGCAAACGGCTGTTCATCAGTACAGAATGCCACGGCACGCTATGGCCAGTCCCCAAAGAGGGCGAACGTTGTTGGATCTGCCAGAACGAGTCAGCGAGCAAGAGCACTGGTTCCCCCTGGAAGGCTTGCCAAAGTTCCAAGGCGGACCTGCTATTCCTCATCGGTGAGACGAGGCGAGACTTGAAGGACTACGACTTGTTCAAACTTGACCCTTGTCCGAGTGGTTTCTCTGTCGCTGGAGGCAGACAGACACTTGGACCGGGTTCTCTCTCCTCTCACATTCTCATTTCTTTGCGACATACACGTAAAGAAAATAGGGGCCCGAGACACCGCTCCAGGGTCTAGTAGTCCGCGGCAGACGCACAATATTCTTCTCGGGGAGTTCCTTGGTATCGAGAGCGGCACGGACTCTCTTCAGCCTCGAGGCGAACTCAATACTCTACCATGCAGAGTGGAGCATATGATCGGCTAATATCGGCTCTCGCCTTGTTCTCTATACTGCGGACCATTGGATTGCCTCTGCCGAACTCCAACGGCCTAACCCACCGTTTCGCGTGACTACCGGTACCGAGGTTTCGTTCGTCCGGCACTTCTTCCTGCCCAACGACTGGATTGGCTCCATGGTCGTCAGCAAGATGATATTTGGTGTTGGTCGGAATGGCGACATTTTTTTTGTCCGGCGGTCCGAATTGGCCGTGATCAAGAAGGGATTGGATGCCACCGAGGATGGAGGGACGTCTCATTCGCCAAGGTTGAACAACAGTTTGCGGGCCCTTTCAGGAGAAGGAGGAAAGGTACCCTACCGGAACCGCGCGTTATCATCTACCCCTTTAATTTGACGGTGATGTACGAGAAAGCTGGCATTTATAGTGTTGTCGTCGGCGTCACTTTCTCCTCGGTCATATACATGGTTTCTGTTGACTCCAGTTTTGAATCGATGGCTTCCTTTTCTTGCTCCAACTCTGGTAGCTGCGCCCATGTACTGGCAACTCCCCTAATTCGTTATACGCAAACGCCGAGTTTTTATCACTGTTGATGTGAAAATGGCCCTAGACGAGTTGAGGGAAGAATCTTCGGACGGAGTTTAGAGTTTGGCACAAAAGCCTGCGTTGGGCTTGTGGCTTCTTTAAGAAGGTATCGAGCCATAACAGGAACTGTTAATAACTTGCATGATAAGACACTTGAGGACTGAACAACAAGGGTTTGATCAACGCAGCAACTTCAAGCACAGTTGCCTGGTTTGCAACATTGCCGCTTACTTCGGTGGTGGGTTGTGCTTTGATGCGTCGTTGATGCTACACTGCATGTCTCCGTAAATGCAACGGATCGGCCACTGGCAGGGAGTCGACAGGTCTTAAATTCACATTAATCCCTCCCGAATATCCAAAGCGGCCGACTCGAGGCTCGTCCCTCGCAACGTCTCCCAAGAATGGAAAGGGCCAACGAAAGGATGCAGCAGCAAGAGAAGGATAGTTGGGATGCTGCCCAGCAACCAGCTGGGCAAGACACGAGCTCTACCCCATAGACAATATGGACCACTCGAGATCGGGTTCTGCTTATCTGTGTGCTGGGGTACCTCGCACTTGCGTCTTCGCTGACAGCAAACATCTACTTCCCCTTGATTGACCTGCTCGCCGGACACTATGATGTGTCGACGCAAGCCATCAACTTAACCATCACGCTCTCCTTTGTCTTCCAGGGCATCGCCCCTTCCTTCTGGTCGCCGCTGTCAGACTACTTTGGCCGCTGCCCCGTCTACTTGGCGACCTTCACCATCTACACCGCCGCGTCACTAGACCTCTCCTAGTCGACAAGAACTATCCGGCCCTGCTCCTGTTGCGGGCGATGGAGAGTATCGGAGGCTCGGCAGTTCTGTCTCTGGCTCATGTCGTCGTTGCAGATGTGACGGTGCACTCGGAGCGCGGCCAGTTCCTGGCGCCCCTGCTGACGGCTACCAACATCGGGCCCTGCATTGGACCGATCATTGGCGGCGGAGCTGTACTCACCGCGGGGGACCGAAGAGGGTGCTTCCGGGCGCTGTTGATCTTCGGTACGTCGGCCATGCTGCTCATTGGCTTTGCATAACCCAAAACCGGACGCAACGTGGTGGGAAACGGTGCTGTACCGGCCAAGGGTCTTTGGAAGACGTGGTGGAGTCTATTGTTGGCTTGGAAGAGGGAGAGAAGTGGGCGGAATGGGGGGCAGGGGCCAGGACAAATGTCTTTGATGTCGAGCAACAAGCCACAGTCCCAGTCTCAAAGAGAAGGGCAAAGCCTCAGCGGAAGAGCGACCCAACATCAACACCGGCAAGACCGGCCGGGGGACATTCACCATCCCCAACCCTCTCCCACCCCTCCGCATCGTCTTCCGGCCCGACAGTTTTCTGACCCTCTGGCTCGCCGGCTGCCCGTAGGGTTGTGGTTCTGCGTCCAAGCCTCGATGACGCCCGTCTTCACCCACACGTACGGCCTGTTTGATGCCGCCGGCTGCATCCTAGCCGTAGTTGCGTTGCGGAGATGGGGACGTGGTTGGCGGGACAAGCGAGTGAAGTGACTCCAGATCAGAGACGCAGAGACGCGGATAGACTTTAGAGTTGCAATGTGGAGCTGAAGATGAATACGGATACGACCCCGACGGGATACTCCATAGCAGGGTTAGGGCTACCGTAATCAGAGATAGGGATGGATGCAGCCCGGTGTGGGGCCTGCCGTGATTAGCTACTGTCGGCAATGATGTACTGAAAGTTTCCTGGAAGAGAAGACCTAGGCAGCCGGGGAATGCACAAGCCGATGATGAGTTCCTCAAGACCTAGGAGCTGGCCCGGAGGAAGAACAGCAATAGAACTCAGATACAGTACCTTACTGCTCCCCTCGAGCTCGGCATCTGCACGGGCCGTGTGCGAAGGTGCGAGCATGCAGCTGAGGGCCTGATTGGCCGGCTGATGGCTGCTCCGCCGCCACGGCAGCCTTATTACCCATGTTCATGAAACGCTCTGCTCGATTCCCTCCTAACACCTTCGTCCCTTTCATCTCTCCTCCTAATTTCACATTCCTCTCGTTCTTCGAGTAGCTTACGACCATCTCTTTCGTTAACCACCGTCATTATGGGAAAACCGAGTGCTTCCCCGATTCCCGGCATTGCCGGAAATAGCTCCGATTCAGATGCCGTGTCACTGCACACTCAGCCTGGCGACCGTGTGTACGACGACGATATTTCGGAACTGCAATCAGACAGCCTCCCACCCCTCTACGCAGACATTGAAGCCGACAATGCTCCCCTTCTTCCAACCATCCACAATCCTTCTTACGTCCTTAACACCCTGAATGACGGCGCCGGCGTCCGCATTGTGGATGTGAACTCGGGTGCCGAGTGTTTCATCAATCCCCGCCTCGATAGGGACCCAGAGCTCTTGGAGCGTCAGATCCAGCTTTCTGCAAGCAAACCGCCTCGACCTTCAGTCCGGATTCTTGGTAGGCACAGCCAAACGGTCAAGGAGAACGGCAAGTCGGAGAAGAAGATCCTCACGGACTTCGACGTCTCGGTCGATCTCACGCCGTATCTCTTCTCAGACGCAACGAGAAATGTGTCGTGGACGAAACTGCGCACCGTTGAGAACACCGAGAAAACGTGGCGCGGCACTATCCTGCGGAAACGGGCACCCGGCGTGAAGCGGGATCTTGAGGTTTCCGATCCGAAACCGACGCTGGCTGAGTGGTGCCACCGGTACTGTGCTAGCCACGCGAGGGTTAAGTCCTTTACCCTGCATCGGCGCGTTGTTGGCTTCGATGAGGAAAAGTTGAAGCAGAAGCTAGAGGCATTGGTCCGCGGCACCAACTACCGGGGAACAGTGGACATTACCTTTCCTGTCAGGGATGCCTATGTCCTGGTCTACAATGACTGCAAGATCAACAGGTGGCGAGTGACGCCGTGGATTGTTTGGATGTGCTACCTCACATTCTTGTGGCTCATAACCTGGCCTCTCCTCTTCTTCCAGACCAAAAGGTTCGAGGTGGCGGTCGCCGAGTGGCCCTTTTCGGTGCAAGAAGCCGACGGCAGCAAACGCTATGTCAGCATGTCGGAAGATCATATCTACAACCTCTGGGGCCGTGCTATCAGCCGAGCAGTTCTGGACAAGCGGCAGGGCACTTTGGATCAGGAAGACCTCATCGCCTCGCAGATGGCACCTGCTGAGCCATTTGCCAACGCCCTCCAAGGCGCGCCCAGATTCCTCAGAGAAGGAGTCAACGCCATAACGGCCATCAATCGCCAGCTTGGCTGGGGTAGGCATGATCATTGCGCATGATCATTGCTAGCTTCACAGGGACCTCTGGGCATGGAAGCTGTGAAAGTCCTGGGTATCCCCCGATGTTTCCTATTTTTCTCATGTTGCTATCGTTTTCGGTCTGCGAAGCAAGCCAGTTGTCGCGTCTTCATGCACGTCGTCCACGCTCATGCCGTACCTTATGTAGTTGAATAGCACCCTGACTCCGTTGATTCCCACGTTGAGCCTGAAATCCCGCTAACCTTCATGACACGGACCTCTCTCTCTTCAAAATGTTCAGCGTCGGCCCTGGTCTGCAACAATTTCAGGGGCATCCCGCCCATATCCCCTCAAACGGCTGGCCCATCATCTGAACCAAAGCACGTCATAATAGCGAGCAGCACTGGGGTGTAGGTTAAAACCGAATTGTGCCCTGCTACTGTCAATTCTGCCAGGTTGTTCTCGAGCAAATTAGGGGGCAAACACAAACCTCCGTGGGGTAACATTTCTTGCCGAATCACCACATCACCCTCGCGCCACGTTGCCACGAACGAGTCCTTTCCTCTCATCACCATCCTCTTCTTCTTTTCCGCCTCAAACTGCTCTCCGACGGTCCAATTTCCGCCCAACCCCTCGACAGCCGCCTTAAACAACTTATCATCCTCATGAGACGGAATATCCCAATCATTTCGCGCATGCACTAGACTCAACCTCAACCTCCCGCCCCTCCCCCGGACCGCCCTGACAGTTTCCCTCCATCGCCCCGCACTATCCCACTTATCCACCACCTGGCCCATCACAACCCTCAACAGCCAAGGCCACCACGTCAGCGGCCTCAGCACGGGCACCCACCCGGCAATGGCGTACCCGCTCAGCATCTCGGGCAGCGAGCTGAACGCGGCCACCAGCACGACCCCGGCAAAGTCCATCCCGCCGTGCAGCGTGAACAGCTCGCTCGCGGCCGACGCCACGGCCGTGCCCAGGCTGTGGCCCACCAGCGCGATGCGCGACGGCGGGATGCCGGCCGTGTGCACCGCCCAGTGGACGGCCGCTTCGGCGTCGAGAATGAGACCGTGCTCGGTCGGGGAGCCCGTGCTGAGGCCGAAGCCGCGGTAGTCGATGGCTAGCACGTGGTAGGGGCTGTGCAAGGAGGTGAGGGAGTGGTAGTGGGCCGGACGGAAGCCTTGGGTTAGTTGCGCGGCGTTGCCGTGGACTGGTGGCGGTCAGATTTTGGTTGATATAGGCGAGTGTTGGTGAGAGGAGAGACCGCTTACAGGTGACGATGAGTTTCGCTGAAGGGTCGTCACGGAGGAGGCGGAAATTTTCGGTGGTGGTTATGTCGCTGACTAGCCCGCTTGGTTGGGAGGAGAGCTTGGCTTCGTGCTCGGCGTAGACAGAGAGGGGAAGGACGTGCCATGCGTACAGGGTTTGACCGTCGGCCGTGGTGAGGTGAAACGGGGTTACTTGGTTCTCTAAGGGAGGGGCATCTGGTCAGTAGGCAAATATCCTGCGCCATGTGCGGCAGGGAAGTCGCTGACTGGCAAAACCCCATTGCTCGGGCTCGTTGACGTCTCCCCACCAAAGGCTGTGGACCTTGTGTGCATAGAGGAAACTGAGTTGGCAGAGACGACGAGAATCAGCAATCAGTTACTCGTCCTGAATTCTACGGATTCTATCGAACAAGAACACCTAGGAGCCTTACTTGCGCTGGAAATAGGGTATGGAGGCCAAGCCGAGGAAGAGACTGTAAACGGCCAAGGGCACGCCAACCACGAGGCTGGCGACAAGAATGGGCACTTTGTCTACCATGGCGGATGGCTGCTGCTGGCGAGACTCGGGCTTCGGCATGACACATGTGCAAGGAATGCCTGCTTGGTCAGTTAGTTGGATGAAGTCTGCTACTGTTACAGCATTCAGTCATAAGGTACCTTAGGTATGAGATTTAATGTGCGAAGACGAAGCAACCACACTTCCGGTATTCCTGGCAGGGCTCACGTTGGCCAAGTGACGCGTGGAATCATCCAAGCGCTGTTATGGCGCGTAATATGTCGTACCAGATTTAAACGACCGAATGAGTGGGAACAGGGCAAATGCTAGATGCTGGTGCTAGCAGCCTAGCACCACCAGTTCTGTACTTCAGTGGAGAATTCTCGGAACTATTAAGGTAGCGCAACACGTGCGAAGTGGGTACTGTAAGTTCCTGATCAACGCCTTCCAAGCGGAGGGTCAGGTCAGCACATCCAATATTACCTCGTATCTCATCAGGACACCTCATTCGCGCGATGACGATTCAAGCTCCTCTAATTAACAAAAATCTATTACACCTTCCTTGTACATGAATGAAAAACAACTGCGTTGCTCGCTGGTCTTCACGCTCAGATTGCCATGTTCGCCACCTCGAGTAGAGCACTGTTCAGTACCGTATCAAATCTTATCTGAGGTCACTGGGTCAGACAACGCATGTCGCGGAGCTTACCACTGGAGGTTGCGACCCTGCCCAATCAACGGCATTTCCCGGTGCTGCAGGGAAGTTGTTAGCGCCTCAGAACGACAACGCCAGGAGACGGGAACCATTTTCTTTTGGAGTCCCGGCCATTCTTCCCTGGCCTGCATTCGCAACCTCGCATGAAGTTCGAGGGTCGATTCTTCCGGCAGCAGCACACCACCGCTCTCTCGACAGGTAGCCAGAATTCTCACCTCTCGATTGATAGCATTGGTTCCACGCGAACAGCTCTCCATGCCAATACATGCATGAAGGGCCTTTGCACCATCTGCACATCCGCTTCGGCCGGTCCCTGCAATGGAGAAGAAGAGGAAGCTGCCGGCACGCGCTGCTGCCCGAGCTGAGCAGGCGGCTAAGAGGAGAACCATGACTCCTCCTCAGAGATCAGTCACCCCAGCCGCGCCAGCTGCTGCGCCCGAGCCAGAGACAGCTCCGGTCGAAGATGTCCCTCCGCCGCTTCCCAAATCCATCACTACGGGCAAGCCGCTGCCTACCGTCGACTCACCCCAGCCAGACGACCTCTCTAATAGCGACTTCCAAACCGTATCAGAAAGGTGCGTGTATTCCCCACTCCTGTACTTGTCGCGCTTCGCAAGCTGACAGGTTGGTGTAGTGGTGTTCTCGCTGAGTCTCTGTCGCGTTCGCGCCATATCTGGACGGTCGAGGGTATCTTCGAAAAGTACTGGTCAAAACCGGCCAAGAAGAAGGGGGTCGTGATCGAGGAACCAAACAATCCGCCTAAGGAGAGCATGACAAAGCTGGGACAGGTCACCATCACCGTCGAGCCTCACGTCTTCGAGGCGACCATGTTCGCCGTCAAAGATCCGAAACCACCAGTCCCGAATCCCCCGACCGCCGAACGACCCATCGTACAGTACGGACCACCCAATGGTGCCATGCCGCCTCCGCCAACGCCTACACAGAAAACCGCGACCGCGACGAGCGTGTCGACGCCGGCCCCCGATCCGTCGCAATCGCAGGCCCAGGTGTTTGCCCCGGTCGATACGAAACCTCCAACTCCAATGCAAGCACAAACCCATACCCATACACAGACGCCCACTCTGCCGGTTGCGCAGCCCGCCTCTGGTCAGCTTATACCTGACGCATCGCGGCCGACACCACCCGCTCCTGCCATGGCTCCAAGGCCTGTGGCGTCACCAAGGGGTATGGAGTCGGTCCTCTCGCCCACCATAGCGCCACCACTGGTGCCCCAAAGCTCCCCGGCACCTCAGCCGCAGCCCCCGCGACCAACTCCCCCGCCTAGCTATTCACTCCCAACAGCGCCGACTTCAAGCGCGCCAGCAGTGCCTCCTAGGCCCACGAACACCGTCCAACCCTATCCGACGCCGAATGGTGCGCCTGCTACCCCTGCGGCTGCGGCGGCGAAACCGGCTGCTCCGGGCACAGATCCCATAATCCTTATGCTGGCAGATAAGGCCGGATCGGATCCTCAGCTCCGCGATCTCATGAAGCGCGTTGCGCAGGGAGACGCAGCTAAGCATGAACTAGAGCGCTTCCAGGCCATCATTGACGCCATCACGGCCGAGAGCAAGCGTAACGGTAGCACTGCAGGGCCGTCTGCGGACAGGCTTCTGGTCGACGGGAGGACGGTGCGATATTTCGCTGATGAAGTGCGCGCAATTCTAGACATTGTCCTCTCCTCAAACCCCAAACAAACCTCGGCCGACCTACGACCGCCGGTGGGCAGTGATCCCCTTGTCGTGATGCTCGTCAAGGCAGCGCTTGACGAACCGCGGACCCGGGACATTGTGCGTCGCATTGCCGAGGACAAGCCGCAGTTCGCCGACGCCACGGATCTCAGGGTCATACTAGACCGCCTTCGTGCCAAACTCGTCAAGGACAAGGATCGGCAGCATACGCAATCCCCAGCTCCGGCATCAACCGCGCCTCCCAGGCCCCATGGTGTTGCAAACGGTCACACGGCACGGTCCGCCAGTACCACACCACCAGCCCCCGCACCCCAGACAGCGCTCCGCTCCAAGGGTCCACCGCCGCTACCACCAAAACTGGACATATCCGGGATTGTGTTCGAGTTTGCCGGCGGCACGGGCGATCGATACCTGTTCCCCAAATTCAGCCTCCTCGAATACGTTCCCGTTCCCACTGGACAGCAGGTGATAGCCTCTTTCCTGCTGGTCCGCAAAGGGAGCAAAGCCGAGTATCCCGTGGCCGATCCAGAGTTGGATTACTACCAGCCTCTGACGATCCGTCTCTTCACCCACGCCGGCCGCCACCTCGAACATCTCGCCCGAGTCGTCGCCCCGCAAGACGAGGTGAGGCGGTACATGGACGACGTCATGACCAGGATGACTAGGGCTGAGTATATCCTGCTTGCGATGAGGTTACCCAGGCGGGCTTGGACCGAGGATGAGAACGAGGAGAACGAGAGGGACGGTGGTGCGAGGGACGGCAAGCAGACAAACGGCGGAGGGTTATTGTTGAAGGATAAGGACGACAAGGAAAAAGAGATTGGGTTGGAGGTTGTGCAGAAAGCCAACACGCGACCACCACAGCAGCCGGGGGTGTTGTGGACTGCGAAAGCGACCAAGCCAGAGGTCAAGGATTTGCCGGGGAGGACAAAGGGGTTGGAGAAGGTCATGGATGTTGATGAGCAGTACCAGAGTTTCGTCGCTTCGGTTAGCCGGAAAGAGGTGTAAGTTACGGGGTCATTGTATTCGTTTGATTTCCGAATGTTTTGACGCTTGATTATGGGGGGTGGACTATAAAGGAGCGGGTGAAAAGAGGTGTTGGACGGTTTATGTACGAGGGTTTCTGGTCCCATGGTCTCGGAAGCACCAACCCCACGTTTCTTTTTGTCGTTTCCATATCCAACGGACGGTTCCCAGCTGAGCGGCTGGTCAGGAAAGGGGTATATCACGGGCGGAGTTATGCGCGCAGTCGTCTTGGCTCGGTTTACAGCTTTATCATTATTTATTCTATGTTCGCCCGATCCTGTCTCTTCCGCTTGAGTATCGACGTGGCAGCCGGTCTACTCTTCAGAGTCTGAAGGCAGCTGATTGAATCAGGAGCAGTCGGAGAGCGCGCAGAGAAGCAAATGCCAGAATCATCACCTCTATCCACTTCCTAAATGTTCCTACATGGCTATCACCGTCTTTCCGCGACTCTAGAAGTCTGCCTCGCTCGCGGGGATACAGTCCACTCCCACGTCCCCCTGAATATTGTCGCACACAATCTGCGGCTCCCCCTTCGGACTGGTGATGTTGATGTTCTCCAAGTGGATCCCGCTGCACGTCGCACCGGGACTGCACGTCAGGTCCGCCACCACCCTGCCCTCTTTGCCGCTGCTGCTCCCGCGGACGTTGAGGAACTTGACGTCGGTGATGTTGACCCGGCTCGGGTACGCCGCGCAAGTCGATGCGTTGATGTTGAAGTAACCTACCAATATTGTCAGCTGTGAGTTTCCTCTTTCGGAAATGTCTTGAGGTGGTTCCGGGAGCAAATGCGCTATCTCGGTTGCAGGATGGCTCCTGAGACAACCATGAAGGGGTAAAAACAGTCCACCAACAAAGAAAACTGTTGCCTACACTGGTCCAGCACGATGGGGTTGTCGGTGTTCTCGACCCGGATGTCCTTGTACGTGATGTTGCGCATGTAGCCGTACCCGACATTGGGCCCGGCCCACGCCTTGAGCCGCGCCCCGTTCTCGCCGTTGACGAGCGTGATGTTCTCGAGCAACGCGTTCGAGATGAAGTCCATCACTCCGGGGTACTGCCCGATGCTGCCCATGCTCACGCCGTGTGTGCCGTTGCACCAGAGGTTGCGCACCAGGATGTTGGTCGTGTTGGGCTTCGGGGAGAAGCAGTCGTCGCCCACGTTGACGCGCGTGTTGAGGACGGTCAGGCCGTCGACGTTGAGCGAATCGAAGCCGTCGGTGTTCTTGGGGAGGGACTTTGGTTGGGAAGAGGGGTCATGTCAGTGGGCGAGCTCTGCTGAGGGCAGGGAAGGCCCGGAAGGGGGTTAACAAGGAGGGCTTACTGATGCGTTTGTGGAAACGGCCGAGATGTAGACGTTGTCGAAAACCACGTTGTTGGTCCGGACAAAGAAGTTGGTCCAGCATGGCGAGTCCTTGAGGTGCAGCCCGTTCACCTCGACGTTGGTGGCATTGTCGGTAAGGAAGAGGATAGGCCGGTAGTATTTGTTGTTGGGGTCGAGAATCTCAGCGCCCGAGAAGCCATCCCACCAAGCTTGGCCGTTGCCATTGATGACCCCGGAGCCGTAGATCTTGATGTCCCTGTGATTTTATCAGCATGATGAGATGGGACGAGTGGGGAGGGAACTGGCTCACTTTCCACCCCAGACCCAGAATGTGATACTCTTCTGGAATGGGTAGTAAAAGTTGTTGTCTTGCCAGTATTCAATGTCGTTGGTGAACTGGTGGAATTGTCAGTGTCCTTTTGATTGCCTTGTTGATGCCGTCTCTCTCTAGGCCTTACCTTCAGCTCGCCATCAATCTTCACGTACACATCCTTCAAGAAGGTCAAGTCCAGCTTCTTGCCAATGACATATTTCTTCCCCGTTTCCAAGTACACAAGGCCGCCATGATTTGCCTTTTTGAGGGCCCACAAGAAGTCGTCGCTGATGTCGTCACGGTCGTGCTTGGATGCGCGTATGGTGACCTTCTTCCGGTCTTGTTCCACAGCGTTACCCCAGTTGTCCTTCTGCTTGTGATGGCTGTTGGACGTCAGCGCGCGGGGAAGGGATATCGAGGCGCCTTCCGGGACGAAGACACTCGAAGCATCACTCCCTAGGGCAATGGCAGTTGCCGAGGCCAAGGAGGCGGTAACGGAAAGGAGGAACGCAAGCGACTTCATTGTGGCGGTGCCAAGGTCTTGGGCAGAAGCTTGATTGCACCCATCATCTTGGCTTCGCGATGCAAGGTTGAGGGGTATTTAATCCCCCAACCCGCATCACCTCGGCTGCCTTAAGGTAGGTTTCTCTGCGGGGAAGGCTGATGAATGACGCGAGTAATTTCTCCGCCATATGAGCGCTTCGCTGACCGTTATTCCGTGGTTGTTTGGAGCAAGAAGCTCCAACGAGCACTGGAACCTGGAGAAGCGAACCCCAGATCCACCAAGCTTTTGGGGGCAAAGCTTGGGGAAGCTTGTCTGGGTAACATCTGCCGGGAGACTTGTCTGGTGAAGATGCCCCTCTCGGTTGCCGTTTTCGTGCTCCACGATGGAGCATGGTTCGTGGCCGGGGAAATGTGACTGCCGATTTATCCGCGAATGGCAACCCGTGATCATCGATCAATCGACCATCGGCACGCTCCGAATTTTTGCCCTTTTCCCTTCCCGAGCACTCACTTGACCATTCCACGGCCGCCTTTTGTTCTGGCCCTGACATCTTCTGTTAGAAACTCAATCTCAACATCGACCGTGACTCAGCAGCTCAGCTTGCATCTGTACTTTGTACTTTCTATTCGCGAGCAGAACACCGAACCGTCAGCACGCCGCTCATATTAGTATCACTTAGTCCAGTTTCTCTAGCGCTTTCGCGCATTGGACTTCTATAATCAATCCAATCTGGCTTCATCATCTTCAAGCTGTCAGGTCTGATGGGGGGATCATCTGGAACCATAGCTAGAGTTCATCCTCCATAGGCACTAGGTAGTTGATCTGGATGTGCTTCCGTACCTAACCATACGCACCCCATCCTACTACCCCCCAGGCTGCCAGGCAAAGAAATGCCGTAGTTGAGACTACACCGGTGCGCTTGATGTCATGGTAGCCGAGTCGATGACTGGAAAAAGCTTGAGAATGCTGCTGCGCAGAAACAAGACCAAAGCACAGCATTCCTAAGGTAGCCTTCGTATGGGGCGAACCTGGAAGGGGAGATACCGCCCGAAGTCGCATTCCATCACTGAGTTGAACCCCAAGCCACAAACTGTCATGTCGTGCAGTGGAGGACGACGCCACTACAGGGGATGGTTGACGGCGACGGACCTCGGACTCAATCAACAAAGTACTCCGAACATGAAGAGTGCAGTCGCTCAGTAGGTATGCTATACGGTGCTCGAGAAGCACGCATCCATACTAAGCGTGATGTGTTATGTAAGCTCGAGCATTCTAGCTGCTCGGTTTTTGGGAGCTTGGGAAGAACCCCCCCATGTTGCGGTCTGGTGCAACTGCAATATGTGGTGAGTGAGAAATCTGGGGTGAAGCATGATTAAACAGGATACTCGCGACATTTTGGATGCTCGAGGCAATACAAAGCAACTTTACTGGCGTGCTTTGTTGCGCTCCGACAGCATTCCGACAGCATTGTATGCCCGGGCGAACCGAACTGCCCAATACAAAGTGCCTTTAAAACAACCAAGTAGTAACTTCTAGCCGGTTAAAAGTGGCATACGTGTCCGAGGTCCTTGGTTCCTTCCACAATGGTACGATTAACCGATGAGTGAATGGAGGTCTAACTTCTGTGATATTTGCGAACTAGGATTAACTTATAGGCTTAACGGAGTACTGGTCAAATCCAAGCGAGATAGTACTAGGCGAGCGATGTTAGGATGAGTGACTCGGAGCAGAAGTTATATAATAAGACGCCTTCCCAGTCAGTCGTAGGCGAGACATCTCTCCAAGGAGGTAGTGAGTGACGGTTGTTGTAAGTGGAGCGGAGAAAGGGAAACAGAGATAAAACAAAGGGAAAGACAGGAAGAGGGGAGAATGAAAACGGAGCTCATCCTGCAGGCGCTTTATACCAAGAGATGGTGTCGTTCAAACCTGCTTTAATGAGGCTGGTAACGGTAGACAAAGTTCGGCATTTTGACGACCCATTTCAACCTGCATGATCTAAGTCGGGCACCCCCCATTCGGACCACCCCCCATTCGGACCACTTCCCATTCGGACCACTTGGCAAATCTTGGCCCGCAAACACACCTATCTTCTTCAACACCATATATTGCAGTCTGTCTTAACCCACCACAATACAAGAAGCATCCGATTCTGCACTTTCTGACCCGCTCTCTTCAACTACAGAGTCCTCTATACGGCCCGCATCAATTTGAGCCTGGTGGATGTGTTCGATTGAAGCGAACTGAGTGTTGGGATCAGGGACCACCCTCTTCCTTCGCGACGGCCGGGCTGCCTCCAATTGGGCCTTCAGAGCTTCGTTTTCTTGTCGTAGCCGAGCCAATTCAAAGTCCTTCTCGTCAAAAGCCTTTTCAACCTTCTTGAACAAGAGCCGCCGGGTAGAGATATTATGTCGTCGGATGGCCAAGTTGTTTAGGTGGCCCCAAAGGTCTGTCTTCTTCCGTGGAGTCGTGAATTTGGGATACCGAACTCACAGCTGATACTTCGTATCGAACGACCACCTTGGTAGCATTTTGCAATCGCATCTTGCAAGTCCTGTTCAATATAAGGCATCTGAAACTGACGGTAATTTAGTTTTAAAATAGGCTCGTTTGGCTAAGGATTGACTAAGTTGTGGTAAGTTGAAGAGGTTGGGTTGAAAAAGCCGTGTGGGTTTGCCAAGTGGTCCGAATGGGGGGTGCCCGACTTATACGCCACCCGGCCGATACCTCCAGACCCTCGACAGCATAGCATCGTTGGAGCCAGGTTCTGTTTCTCTACGTTCTATGCAATTATAGTCCAGGAGCAGAAAGTCAACAAGTAACTCCTGCATCACGAATCGGTGCTTTCAATTGGCTGTTTCGGTGAACCTGAACTTAGAAGAACTGCATTGCCCCTCTCATCTCAGCAACAATGAATAAACTTACCGGTACAGAGCTGAGCTGTACGACCACAGGACTTTCCACATTAAACCCCCGCATCTCGCGAGGGGCTCGTTTTGAATTCCAGAGAATGGAAACCGATAACTTAAACTGAATAAAGCGAAAACTGCAGCTGATGCGCGGGGAAGCGATGTGCCGAGAGCGAAGAGCCTAGGGATGTGCTGCCTGAAGCATCGCGCTTCATCGTCATATGGCAACCTGGTGGGAATCACGAGCAGAATCAATGCTGACGTTGCGAAGCGCCTCTTGTTGAGTTGCAACTGGTATCTTGGCGCCCAGACCCAGGGGTTGACAGCTCGAGGGACTGATGGAGAGAATGGCTGTATCGACTGACATGTGATCATTGGGATGTAATACGCTGGAAGGAGATCGATGGAGTGGCCGAGAGTGTTGGAATTGGGAGCCGCGATAACGTTATGCCAGCCTTTTCTTCCAACAGTCCCGGACCTCCCTATTACGGTGGTGGCACCGTTGATGCCAAGCCTGATTCCCAACCTTTCCTGAAGCACCTCCGACGTCGACGAAACTCCGTCGGGATCTCGAGTTGCGAATACTTGGACGAGTTGAAGGTATTGAGGACCTTGCAATTTCTTAGTATTTCGGCATAGATGGAATACGGGCTATTGTGTGGTTGGACACTATGAGAGCTCAATAGCATCATTGACTGACTTGTAGGATGGATGAAGGATACAGGTACTGACGCATAACTCTCCTCGATAACAGATAAGATAGGGGCTAACGGGGCCCTGGCCCGGGTATCTTAGCGCCGGCAACTTTGACCGAAGTGGTAAGAACCAAAATTCGCCATTGGCCGGGCCGCTCATTTCCATTTAAACTCGCAGACTTCCCCACACCACCCCATCCAACCCGAATGCAGGCCAAGGCTAGTGCCGTCGAAGACCTGCCGTTGCGGACCTAGCGGCGGGACATAGCAGGGCCCATGAGTGTTTATCACACCTTCGTGCCGTTACTCGACATGGCAGCTGGTCAGACGGCGGTTGCAACAGCTGCCGCAACGGGATGCGCGCCCAGGCGCGATTGTCCTGCCGAATGGCGACACCTGTTCTCCTCGGTTCGTTTCCAGAAGGCGGGACAGACTTGATATTGCCTTGGCGGGCCGATCGGCAACTTGCTGCTTGCGCGCTGCCGAGGTGGGACGGGAAGGGGGAAGGTCCACGAGGTTGGGGGATATTAAATACCTAGATGAACGGCTCCTCTCCGTAGCTGGAAGCTTACCGTCCCGCTCTTCTTGTTCCGGATCGCCCTTTCCAATTCGATATCCCCAAAGTGTTTGTTCTTCAGAATGAAGACCATCACTTCTTCCCTCCTCACTCTGGCCTTCTCGGCCCTGGCCTCTGCCACCGACGGACCGGGAAAGGGGCATGACGGCCCCGGCGGGCACCATGGCGGCGAATGCAAGCGGCCCCTCGTCACCTCGGAGAAACTGCAGTCGCGCATCAAGACCGAGGACCTGCTCGCGGGCTCTCAAAAGCTGCAGGACTTCGCCAACGCCAACGGCGGCAACCGTGCCTTTGGCGGTGGCGGCCACAACGCCACCGTCGACTACCTCTACGAGAGCCTCACGGCCCTCAAGTACTACGACGTGGTGAAGCAGCCCTTCACCGAGATCTACTCGGAGGGAACCGCCACGTTCACAGTCGACGGCCAGGCCTTCGATGTGAATGTCATGACCTACACCCCCGGTGGCGAGGCTACCAAGCCCCTGGTTGCCGTCGCCAACCTGGGCTGCGATGTCGCCGATTACCCGGCCACAATCTCGGGCAACATCGCCCTCATCTCCCGCGGCAGCTGCACCTTTGCCCAAAAGTCGCTCAACGCTAAGGCTGCCGGCGCCGTAGGAGCGGTTGTTTACAACAACGTGGCTGGCGAGCTCTCGGGCACCCTCGGCGAACCCTTCCTGGAGTACGCCCCGGTCGTGGGCCTCAGCCAGGAAGATGGTACAGCGCTGCTGGAGAAGCTCGCGGCGGGCGAGGTGACGGCCACTCTCGATGTCGACGCAGTGGTGGAGGAGCGCGTCAGCTACAACGTCATCGCCGAGACCAAGGAGGGCGACCACAACAACGTCCTGGTTGTGGGCGGGCACTCGGACTCGGTGCCGGCGGGCCCAGGTATCAAGTGAGTCTCGCGTCACGGCAACAGCGGTCGTTACTGCGCAGACGTTTTGCTAACGATCCCCAGTGACGATGGCTCCGGCATCATCGGTATTCTCACCGTGGCCAAGGCATTGGCCAAGTTCCGCGTCAACAACGCCGTTCGCTTCGCGTTTTGGAGCGCCGAGGAGTTCGGACTGCTTGGTTCGTACTACTACATGAACTCGATCAACAGCTCCGAGACAGAACTGGCCAAGATTCGCGCCTACCTCAACTTTGACATGGTCCGCCTCCCCCCTTTCCTTCTTATCTACCTTAACGCCCAGCAAAAAGCAAACACTAACTGTAACTAACAGATCGCGAGCCCCAACTACATTTACGGCATTTATGATGGTGATGGCAACGCGTTCAACCTCACCGGCCCCGCCGGCTCCGACGTCCTCGAGCGCGACTTCGAAGCCTTCTTCCAGGGCAAGTCCACCCCTTCGATCCCGACCCCCTTCAGCGGCCGTTCGGATTACGCGGCTTTCATCGAGAACGGCATCCCGTCGGGCGGCCTGTTCACGGGCGCCGAGGAGCTCAAGACGGCCGAAGAAGCGGCGCTGTTCGGCGGCGAGGTCGGCGTGGCGTACGACGTGAACTATCACAAGAAGGGCGACACCATCGACAACCTGGCGTTGGACGCGTACTTGCTGAATACGCAGGCCATTGCCGACAGCGTGGCCAAGTATGCGCGCAGCTTTGAGAGCCTGCCGGCAGTCGAGGCCAAGACGCGGCGCTGGGATGCGGATCGCGCGAGGATGCTCAAGAGGAGCGGCGGTGTGCATGGCCATGCGCAGAAGCATGCCCATGCGGGGCCTTGCGGTGGTGGGCCGACTATCTGAGAATAGATAGCGGTTTCTGAGTAGCGAGCGGCCTTGAAGCTGGGTTCTGTGTCTTTGTTGGAAGTGGGGAGATGGCCGATGAATGTATGTATCAACGATACCGTGAGCGATGGATGACGGTCCGGGTACATACGACATAACGAGAATGAATAATGTGGCATCAGCCATTGGTGTATCGTCCATCATATGTCAGCACAGCTATCCACTTCAACTGCTGTCTTGAACCTTGCCCATTCGGGCTATCACTCAAGTATCTGTTGATCGACTGTTGAAGAAATGTGTAGTTCCAAATTTCTGAGAAGTGAAATCGAATCATTAACGTAAGCATCATACTCACCATATCTATATCCGACTTTGGCATGCCGCATTTCTATATGGTAACCTATGGTAGTTTTTCTTCAAGCTCCTTGAAACCAAGGAATCCATCAACTCTATCAATCCAATTCCAACTTCCAAGCCCAGATTTGTACTTGAGTTACCACAGCCAATTTGAAGTTGAGGTACACTTGGCCAAATCCTTCCTAACCCAAGCTACATCACCTCGCTTTCTCCTACCTAGCATAACTTCGATATTCTCAACATTCTCAACGCGCTCGGCATCTCTTTTGCAGGACCGACACACGCGCCCACGCTTGGGTAGGTGTACTCCTTGGAATTGCAACCTCCTTGGTGCTATAAAATCCTTGACTGGACCCTGCGATGCTCGGAGGCATCACGGCATGTCCCAGTAGGTGTGAAGCCAAGCCTCGCGATCATTGATACCATCGTCGCCAATGAATTGTACCACATAACTACGCCAACGACCGGCCTCGCCATGGCCCCAGATTCGGCCCGAACGCAAGCCATCGCCCAATGGCCCCCTGGATAGTGACGACCGCAAGCCGGTGAACTTGACGACCCGAATCAAGCCTCGCCCTCCAAACCGACCATCTTCAACGAGTCTCTCCACAGGCGGTCCTTTTCCTCGGAGTTGTATGTCTGCTTGACTCATCCCACTCCAAAGACCTGACCGTCGTTCTCGGCCCGCTCCGCTTCCGCGACGTCTTCCAGCTACTTCCCGCCTCTGTTCGCCCACTCCCTGCCCACGGCAGCCCACACGGTCGTCGCGGCGCCCTGCTCCGGAGACTTCAAGACCTGGAGGATGAAGGGGTTGCTCATAGTCCTTGCAGGAAATCAGGCGCAATGTGGCGGGAGATGTCAATGTTGATGGCGCCGGATGCAGGCTGGTGGCGTGCAGGCCCCGGGCGCCGTAGTCTCGGTCGATCTTGCTGGCCAGGTACACCGCCGCCAGCTTGGGCGTTGTTGTAGGCCGTCTTGGGGTTGTAACCGCCCTGTTCGAAGCTGTAGTTGTCGCTGGCCGGCAGTGTGCACGCGCGGTGCGCCGACGAGGACACCACGACCACGCGAGAATGGAAGTCCAAATCGACTGTTACGCTGGCTAGCAGAGCCGGTTTTAGCAGCTGGAAAAGCAGAAGAAGCCTAGGTAGTTGCTGGAGAAGTGCGCCTCGATCCCGTCCTCGGTGAGCATGTGCTTCTGGATGCTCATGACGCCCACGCTGTTGATGAGGATGTTGAGTGGCCCTTGGTGGTGGAGAGGATCTGCTGCGCACCGGCACGGATGCTCCTGAAGGAGTCCAGTCCATCTCGACGAGGGAGACGCGGCCGGGCTCGAGAATGCCGGCAAGGTTCTTCTGGGCCCTGGCCAGGTTGCGCGTCCGTGAGTAGCAGCGTGGCTCCCGTGGCCTTCAAGGCTCGGGCGGTCTCAACACCGATGCCCGATGTGGCGCCGGCGATGACAATCACCTTACCTGCCAGCTTGCCTTGCACGCCCTCATCTTGTATGATCTGGAGGGCCGTCGGTCGAGCATCTCCGGCGCCCTGGGGATTGCGAGGGCGTGGCAGCGTAGGGACTCGAGGATCCCATCTTGTGCTGACAGTGCTGTAATCACATACAGTTTAGGTGTGATAGGAAAAAGGTCAAGGTCTCAAGGTTGCGAAGGTAATAGTGAATTGAGCAGATGATTTTAATGAGCTTAAGCTGTGACTATTGATTAACATGCTTCACTTATACCCCTAGACGTGCCACCATCCGGGTAGTGGCCGGAGTGGCGGTCGCCATATTCGGCCAAGAAGTGAGCGGGTAGTGCGGCCGCACAAAATTGGCATTTAAGAGTCATCATGCATCCGCCCGTCCGCCCCCCGCTGCAGCCGCTTTTATACGGGCTTCCCCCGCCTTTCGGTCCTCAGGTTTGCAGACAGATCTATCCACACCCAATCATGGTACCATTGTGTTAGCCAACTGAGTTACTCCGAACCTACACATTATGCAGACCCCTAGTCGTGAATCGAGCTTGACCTGGCACTGCAAGCATGCCAGTCCAGCAGATCGCGTAAGAGAAAGTGCGACAAGGCACTGCCGAAGTGCTCCTCCTGCGCCAAGTAAGCAAAGAGCACTGGATTAGGCTGTAAATTCGGCAGAGCTAACACTTGACCTTCCGTTGCAGACGTACCCAGACATATGAATACTGGCGGCCAGAAACCAGCACGCCCCTAGAACGGGAATGGTACCCGTCCGCGGTAGGCGAGGAGCAGCAGGCGGAGGACTGGACTGTTGACTTCCCGACCATCCTCTTCCTCGACCCGAGCTTGCTGCGGCACGGCCAGGTAGATAGCGGCCACGGCGCCATGCCCGTTCCGCCGTCTATCCTACATCTGCTCGGTAGTGTGGACGAGGTCCGGTCCACGGCCGACCGCTTCTTCCAGCACATCCACCAGTGGATGCCCCTCATATCCAAAAAGAGGTCCTACGATCTTTATTTCCACAGGCAGCCAGCATTCCACTCCCACTCCGACGTGGCCCTGTTGCTCTTGGCCGTGAAGCTGATCACCACATTCCCGCCGGCCGGGCCGCGGGATTTCCGCACTCCCTTGTATTATACTACCAAGCATTTTCACCTCGAGGTCGAAAGTCTGCTTTCTCCATCGTCGTGCTGCAGGCCGGCGTTCTGATAGCGCTTTATGAACTAGACTTAGCACATGGCATCTTCCCAGCCGTCTATCTATCCATCGGGTCTGTGCACGTTATGCCCCATGCGTTGGGCATCAACTTGAACGCCAGTCGCACGGTGCCGACCCGGAAAGTGCTTACCTTGGTTGAGGTGGAGGAGCGGCGGAGGGTCTGGTGGGCCATCGTGGTTCTCGATTGGTACGTGTTGCTTGGCTCTCGATATGTTTCTATTGCGCATGTACTACTAACCATAAGGTACGCTAACGATAAACCCCTGTTCCCAGGTTTGTGAGTATCGGCTGTCCCGGACGACCCTTTGCTACAGCTGATCCTGCCCTGGATAATCTCTTGCCCGCAGATGACGCGGCATGGTACCAGGAGGTAAGTTGAACCTCATATGTTCCACCAGTCTCTAACCGCTGGAATCAATAGACTGTCCGTCCTGAGGACCTCTCAACCCTATCCTCTCAAATGACGGGCCATATGAGCAAATTCTCCCTGCTGGCCAAGCTAGCCGGCTTCTCGGACAGGTCCTGCACCACCTCGCCAGCGGCGCCGCAATTCACGACTCGGACGAGGTCTGGATGCAGCTCGACCGTACCCTACGATCCATGTTGGCTGCGGCGTTGGACATTGAGTGTCCGGACTATGACCAGATTGCATTTGCATACAGGTTGCCCCACCCCCCACCCCCTCTTACTCCGTTCCCGCTGATGTATCTACTGTTTAGTCCAAGTCTCAGTTGATAATAGCACGCTTGTCGCCCTGTACACCCCGTAGCTGGCAGCGCACCAACCATGCCCTGACCGTCCTGATGCATCCAGCGAGCGGTCTCGACGGGCGCGAGTCGTGCTGGAACAAATCACTGACCGCATCAGCGCCAACCTGGTGGAGCGACAGTGTCTCCTGGGCCGCGATCCGGAGGACATGGCCCCGTGGGGCCTGTATTTTGCTTTCCGCGTCTGCTGTGCGCTTGTACGGGCTCCGCAGCAGACGCCGCAGGCGGTGGCGGTGATTCAGACCTTGAGCCATGTATTTCGTGCCATCGATGTTCGGTGGAATGTGGCAGGTTTGTACCTGCAGCTGTTGGAGGCTCAGGAAGCAATTCACCTGGGGGGCTTAATACAGTTCGCTGCTAGGTAGGTAGGTTGATTAGTTTGTGATTTGTATCATGACTGGCACCTCACGATCAGACTTATGATGACCACGACGACATTTGTCAGCCGCCGCCTTCCTCCTAGGAGATGGAGTTTGTAACCTGGTCGACTTCGCTAAGCGCTGTTCCAAACGAAAAGGACGTTGTAGATGTCAGATTCTCTCCGGCCACAACTTGGTAGAAGCGCCAGCAAACGCTTAGGTTGTTACGTGTTGGTCACTGTCGACAAGTGAGGGTGACAAAGCTGACATGGAAGAATCGTTGGACCATTCGAGCTGGGCTCGCAATCAAGATTGACAAATACCACCGGCCGGGCCCCGGCAGAGCGGCCACGTGCAAGACATAGAAGGCCCCGCACAGTGGGATGGTGCTTATGTACAAAGAAAGTCAGGTGTCGCGTGATTGCCGGTAAACGTACAGAAAAGAGCTCGCACTCAAATCTTCCGATTGCATGGCAATGCGATTCCACAGTTCGGCCCAAGCCACCCAGAGCCGGGCGCCGCATTTAGTTGATGGAGATCCAGGGACAACAGAAGATGGTGATCATCAATGGTGGTGGTTCATCCAGTGGTGATGCTGGATGTGTGATGGCTCTGGTGGGCAGGGCTGTAACCCCTGCACCAGATAGGGGGCAACCCGGTCTGCCAAAGATGTGGGGCACCACCTACAACATTAGTACGCGACCGCCTCGGCCACCGACCCAACCCCTTTGCGGAAAGCCGGTCGCTAACAAGCGCGCCAAGCTGGACCCTGGGGACGAATGTTCGTCCCGCGCTATAGGAAGCCAAGTTGGGCTGAGCAATGCTGGGGCCATCGAAGCACCGCCAATGGCAGGCGGGCTGGCGAAGGCTGAGCACCTTGACATCCACTTCCGGCTCCCCTGTCTGTCCAACCAGCCCGCGCAGGAATCGTCTTGGCATCCAGATGAGGGCTAGCAGCATCATGTTTACCCTTTCAGGGGATCAATAGGCTCTCACACTGGGCATCGAGACGATATAAGAGATGGCGTTGCACCAACATGTTTCTCCCGGCAGTCATCACAGCAAACCGCCTATTCAGCATTTCCTAGATTTCGTTCCCTTTTCCTTCCCGTTTTCCTTCTGTCTCGACCGCAAACATGGGCCAGTGGCAGAGCCAGCCCGTGTGCACCTCGGCTGCCTGCGTCCAGGCGGCCGCCCATGTGCTCCAGGGTCTCGCCCCAAACTATGCGCAGATGGACCCCTGCACCGACTTTGACCAGAGTAAGTAGTATTACTAGTCTATTTGGGTAGCACCCGCAGTTTCCTTGACGCTGACACCGAGGCAGTGGTGTGCTACGGTACCTTCGAGCACAGCGGTGATAACGGAGGCACCGTCTGGGATCTCCGTGACCGGACTGAGCGCATCCTGAGGAAGATCCACGAAAGCTCCAGCCATGCCGAAGCGATAGGTTTCAGATCCACCATGCTCACGGCTCGCGACAGCGCCGACGAATACAACTTCGACATGCTGCGGACCGCCTACCAAGCCTGCATGGACACCGAGGCCATCGTCGCCGCCGGCATCACGCCTTTGACCGACCTCATCGCCTCCGTCAACAACTACTGGCCCCTCTCGCCCTCTGACCTCAAGACAACCCTTAGCACGGACGACCTCGATGGCTTTCACCAAGCCACTCTCCTCGTCGAGCAGCTGGGGGTCAAGGTCTTCCACGACCACTGCAATTACGAGAGCCCCGTCATGGCTGACTTTCTGAACTCGGTGCGTTCTTGCTCTTTTTCCCCTTGAACATCCCACATCCCGCCGAGTCGGCTTTCTAACATCAACCCAAGAGGAGCAATCGCATCTGCTGGTCGACCCCGGAGGTCTACTTTGGGCAAAATCTCACGGCCTACTCGGACCCGGAGGCCATGGAGCACTATTCGCGCACCCTCGCCAACGTCTTCCACATGACCTACCCCAACTTGGACGACGGAGCCGCGGCGGCCATGGCAGAAGCAGTCATCTCGTTTGAGATCGACATGGTCAACCTGGCCCAGCCGTATCTCCAACAATCTGGAGATTTCTTTGTGAGTCATGTCACCCTGCAAGCACAGGACGGCATCATTTGGTATCTAACATGCCCTAGGAACTTACCGCCAACGTGTCTGTTGCCAAGCTCGCCAACGCAGCGCCCGCCCTCGGCTTCGACAAGTTACTCGCCGGTCTCATGCCCTCGGGCGAGGCACCATCGACGATCCTGATGCTCGTGCCGGACTTCTGGCCCCAGCTCTCCGACGTCTTAGCGAACCATTCCAAGGCTGCGCTGCATGGCTTCCTTGTGTGGAAGACGATCAACGCGCTCGCCGAGCATGTCTATGACGAGACACTCTGGACCCTGCTGGGCCTAACCCCCAGCGAAAACCGATGGGAAGAATGCGTCGCGGCGTCGGACCGCTTGATCCGACACATCAAAGACCGCTATTTCATCTCGGCCGCGTATCCGGACCTCACGATGCAGGCCGCCGACAAGATGACGACCAACATCCTCGCCCAGTTCAAGAAGCGCATCAACGAGCTCGACTGGATGAGCGAGGACGCCAAGAAGCGCGCCATCGTCAAGGCCGAGCGGCTTGTGCAGAACATCGGCTACCCCAAGGCCAACCCGGACCTGCGCTCGGCCGAGTCGGTCGCCTCGTACTACGAGGGCCTCAACTTCACGGCCGACCATTTCGCCAACAACCTCAACGCCCTCCGCTTCAACCTGGCCAAGCAGTACGCCGAGGCCAACGGCGCGCCGAACCGCAACAACGTCGGCAACGCCGCCGAAGTCAACGCCTTCTACGACCCGACCACCAACAGCATAAGCATCCCCGCCGGCTACTCTCAGCTGCCCATCTTCCACTACCTCCTGCCCGAGTACGCCCTCTACGGCGGGCTGGGCGTCGTCATCGGGCACGAGATCACGCACGGCTTCGACAACGACGGCCGGCTGTGGAGCGAGGACGCCGAGCGCGAAGCCTGGTGGGACAACGCGACCATCGCGGCCTTTGAGTCGCGCGCGCAGTGCTTCGTCGACCAATTCAACGCCTTCGACGTCGCCGTCCCCGGCGGTAGACAGCCCGTCGACGGCCTCCTGACCCTGGGCGAGAACCTGTCGGACGCCGGCGGCATCCGCGCCGCGTACCACGCCTGGCTCGAGGAGCGCAAGTCGATGCCCGACGTCTGGGACCAGAAACTGCCCGGGCTCGAGCACTTCACGTCCGAGCAGATGTTTTTTGTCATTCATGGCAGCATGTGGTGCGACGCCAAGACGCCCGCCAAGATGGCGCACATCATGTCGTATGATAACCATGCGCCGAACCTGGTGCGCATCAAGGGCATGACGCAGAACTCGAGGGAGTTTAGGGAGGCCTTCAAGTGCCCGAACCCGGAGCCCACGTGCGAGTTGTTCTAGAGCGAGGTACATATAGGTGTATTTGCGTTTTTTGTCTATAAGGGATTCAATATCTTGAGTCTTGTCGATACCTTTGTCGGTTTGGCATGGCGTTGGCGTTCTGGCGCGGTAGCGGGTTGCGCATGGTTCGGAAAGCAGCATCATTGCATTTAGATAATCTCGCATTTACAAGTTTGATTAGTTATATCCTACCACCATGAACTTCACCGCCCATGCCAATACATGCCATGGAACTCCCAAAGCACTCTTCCGCGTTGAAATGGACGTATAGCTGTATGGTACGGCTAGTCATCGCCTCGCCTTTGCAACTCTTCTCAAGTGAGTATATATGTGCTAAACACAGTAGGACCGTACACACCAGAGCCTGGACTGCAGAATGGTGGCCCGAAACTGCGGCATCCCGCAGATCTCAACGAGACCAACTGATTCCATGCCATCACCGCCATGCCGTTGCCTGCTCCTGCCGTGATTCCCCGTGATCCTGTCCCTGTTCCTCATTCGGGATTTTCGGGATTATGTGCAAGTCTTGTGCACTCGCGTCCTGTTTGTTCTGTAATGAGTTATCCGCATGCAGTAACCAGAATGCTGCTCTTGGCGTCGTGACGGGGAGCTTATGCTTCTCGCACTGATGACCGGAGTTGCACCGCGCCGACCGTGCCCCTGCATTTCTTCAAAACCCCGTGCGGTAATTAGAGGTAACCCCTTCAGGGAACATTCAGACCCGTCAGAGCCCCGTGGGGTAAGGGTGCCCCCTTCAGGGCACATGCAGACTCGACGTTGCAGCACAGACGGCACGGAAGTAACCCTCCCGGGCATCTTCATCAATCTCACCAAGCCCTCAGCTCAGGGGACTGAGCTCGCCTCGATGCGCCGGCAGTAGTCCCGTCCGTGACTGACCTGCCAATGGCACAGCCACACCTCCATGGCCATGCCCAAGAAGCCGGCGATGCAGATACCCCCGCTGTCGCTGACCGAGGTGGCGCCCAGGCTGAACTCGCGGTCCTCGGCCGGCACCCTCTCCATGATCTCGGCAAACGTGTTGACGTAGACGGCCCCTCCGAGCAGGCCCTCCCAAAAGACGACGACGAAGACGAGATAGACGGAAGGGAGGAAGTTGAACAGCGCGTGCAGCGTCAGCAGGATGAGGTTGACGACCTGCAGGAGAGACGGAAGGTAGAGGTGGTGAATCCGGATGAAAGGCGTAGACGAGCGCGAGATGAAGACGCCCAGCTGGTAGAGGAACCCGTAGAACGGGTAGAACTCCCTGAACTCGGAGAAAGGGGACTGCTCGAGCGGGAACAGCAGCGTCGGCGCCACACCCTGGTTGATGGTGTACTCTGCAACGTAGACGAGCAGTAGCGGCAGCATGTACGGGAAGAACAGCACCCTGGCGCGCCGCAAGTTCCCCCAGAACGACGTCTTTCCGCCAAGCTGGTAAGAATGGTGGGTGTACGCGGTAGCCGCAACCGCGGATCCCGGCGCGAGCAGCCCAGACGAGGCCATGCCCGTCGGCACGTCCTCAAACCCCTCCTCCTCCTCCTCCCCATCACGCACTCCAGCCTCCCCATCCCTTTCCAGCGGCTCGTACCCACCCTTCCAACCCCCCTTCAACCGCTCCCGGGGCAGCACAGCCCAGAACGCAAACACCATCACTCCCGGCAGCACCGCCCCAACCAGCAAACTCCCCCTGACCCCAAGCCCAACCCAACCGGTCAACAGCACATACAAGCCCGCCCCAATCAACCCCGCACCCCCCGTCCCGCTCCCCCATGCGGCAAGACTGACGTGCCCGTAGTAGTGCGTCAGCCCCAGGAAACTCAGCTCCCCGCCGCCGCTCGACAAGCTCGCGAGCACAACCCCAAGCAATTTGACCGCCACATCCCCGCCCCCGCCACCGGGCGCCGGCGAAAACGCAACGGTCAGCATCCCCGCAGATGATAGCCCGACAAAGACGGCGATGCGCGCGGGGTAGGGCACGCGGTGGATGAAGTAGGGCGCGACCAGCTTGGTCAGGAACGACGGCATGACGTCGGCGAGGAGGACGACGCCCTTTGGCACGGCGGTGCCGACGAGGTCTTGGGCGGCGGAGAGCAGGAGGACGTAGAGAATGTTATTTATCAGCCCTGTTGTTTTGTGGTGTGGTTAGCATGCAAAAGCTCTCGGAGAGGTTGGGGGGGTGGGGGGTTGGAGATTGTTGCTTGGGGATTGGGCTCTTGGGGTTGGGTGGGATGAGACACATGGAAGGGAGGGCATCTAGTTGTACTGGGTGGAATGCGATGGAGTATGGGGTTTTGGTTTGTGGATGATGGGAGGCATGTACATGAATGGGAGAGGTCGGTGACGCATGAGCATGAGAAGAACATAAAGCGGCCGGGTAGCACGATTTGGGATGGAAGAAACAGAAGAGGACCGAAGCATAAAAGGGGACGCACCAAACAGCCAAAAGGCTACTATTACCCTTACATCGGCATCGCGAAACAAGCTGACCAGACGGGCGCGGTACAGCGCCCACGACGACGACGGGGCACCGGGCAGAGGGAGCAGGCCCACGGCCGACGGCGAGCGGTTCATTGTGTTGAAGTAGTAAGAAAAAATAAGAATATTCTATCTACACGTTTCCTATCGTTGTGTTTCAGCCGCCATGGAGACTAGGTTCGGCACAGCAAGGCGCTGCCGTTTTGAGGATTGGTTGTAGTTGGAGATGACGGTTCAAGTGAGGGCAGAATGTTGGATGAGCACGCGACCGAATCGCGCTGAATTGCCTGCCGCAATGGAACACATCCGAGCCATGCCGGCTCTTTTAACAACCCTAACCCGACACCGTACGAGCATCAGCAACAGCACTTTAGTGCAACGAATAGCTGCCACCCTCTTGTCAAGAGTTCCGCCTCACTTCATGACCGGCGGCCAGACTGGATGAAATGAGACCTACATAACAGGACGCCATTTCAGGAGCGATCGTTCGAGACGATTGAATGCAAGTTAACCCACATTTTTGGCTGTCAGACAGCTACTGTCGGGCTCACATCACCAAGTTTAAACAAAGACACCCGCGACGGACAGTGATAAATTGACGTGCCAGACAGTAGTACCCCACCCACCCTCATACAAAACCCTAACCAAGCTCATTTTCTACTCCCTCGCCGGGGCGCATTGTACGGGCACATCGCATCGCATTGCTCAATTGAACGGCATCGTATTGCATTACTCAACACATAGTCGATACGCCCTCTCAAGCGCTGTCGTGCGACACGGGCGATGAAATCGAGAAAAAAGAGGCTAGGGTTAGGGGTGAATATGGTACTGTCTGGCGCATCACTCTATCACTGTTCCTCGCAGGTGTCTCTAAAAAGGCTCACGGGAAGAGAGGAAAGCCGGTTCACGTCCTACACGTCTATTATACAAAGAGAGCCCTCCCTCAAAACGCTATGCTATGCCTCAACTACTAATACCAAGTAAAGTAAGAGAAATGCTATTCAAGCCACCCTACTTGTCCATCCAAACCCGGGCCTTGTCTCCGTGAGTTAAGCTTGTTGAGTCTATCCCGTCCGCTCCGCAATAACCGGTACACTTCCCTCACCACCCATTCGCTCGGACGCGCCTCACTCTCCTCATCAATCAGACCCAAAGTCAAGGCATAACCCCCTGCCTCCACCGCTCCACCATATCCATATGCCCCGGCCCACCACCACCACCCCCCGGCATCCCATACCCAGCAGCATTCACACCCATTCCCGCCGCTCCAACTCCATTCCCATACATCCCCAAGTTCGGCGTCGACCCGCCATAAGTCCCCATCTCCATCCCCATCGGAATCGGCATACCACCTTGCAACCCACCACCCAGCAAAGTACTCGCCCTTTGCTGTTGCGGCATCACACCCGCATTCAACCCAGCCCCCAACATCGCAGGGTTGCCATACCCCAACCCAGACGAAACTCCTCCCGGGCCGCCAACACCATCATTAAACCGCCCGCCCATGTACCCGCCCGTCCGGGGCCCCACAGCAGGCGCGGTAAGACTAGTCGGCATCTGCTGCCTCATGGCCGCCATCTTCATGTCCATATCCCGCTGGTACCGCGTGGCCTCGGCCTCCCGCCTCAAGCGCTCCTGCTCGCGCGGGTCCATGGTCATGGTCATGCCCATCATCGTTGATGAGCGCTGCTGGCTGAGGACGTCCGCCATTCCCACCGGCCCGCGTGATGCACTAGTGACGGGCCGGATCGTCGCGCTGACATTCATCCCACCAACCGCAGGAGCAGGGCCGAGGGTATTCCCTAGACCAGGGCTGGTCAGCGAGCTAAACGCCATCTCGCGCTCGCGCGCCTCACGCTCGCGCTGCAGCCTGCGCCGTCGCTGGCCAAGCGTTTCTTCCTCCTCGGGCACGTCCGGAACCGCGCCGCTGACCTTGCCGCTTGCGTTGGTATCGCGCGAGGTGCTACGAGCGTGCATGGGGTTGTTGGCGGCGGTCTTGTTCTTGGCCTCCTCGTCGTCGTCCGGCTTGAACTCCCGGAGCAGTTCGGCCGAGAAGGCGCCGCTAACCGGCCGCGGGGGAGGGAGCGGGTTCTCCGCTGCCAGACGGGCTTTGCGGGCCGCGAGGGTCTCGCCTTCGACTTCGGAATCGCTGTCTTCGGCGTTGTTGGGGTTATTATTGTTGTTACCTGCTGCGGAGCCGGGGCGGGAACCAAGCATGGAGCCAGCGCGGGAGCTGCCGACGGCTGCGTGAAGCGGTAGCGTGAGGCGAGACTGGGACCGCAGTCCCAGGCCCGGCGCAACTCCTGGTGCAGGCGGCATGTGGCTCATGCGTTGTTGCAAGACAGTCAGCGAGGTTGGAAGCTGGTCGACCACCTTGCCCTGCAGCCTGTCGCGGCGGCGGCTGAGCGGCTCGTTTTCCTCTATCTCGCGGCGCTCCATCAGACCGAGCGGGCGGTGCACCTCGCTCATCAGCGCGCTGATGTCCATGGTCGACCGGTTACCGGCCCCGGTGGCCTTGGCTGCGTAGAGCATGCCGAGCGGAACCTCTTCGTCTTCCTCCTCCTCCTGGCGCGGCACCGCCGCCGGGTCTTCCCAAGCAAGCGTGACCCGCTTGCCGTGTCTAGCCTTGCGTTCTACCTCGGCTACGGCGTCGAGCTCGAGTAGGGTGCTGCGCATGCCGTCGGGATATGCCTGTTGGAGGGGACGAGTCCGCATCTTGTTTTGCTGCTTGCGCAGCTGCAGCTCGGCGAGCAGCGTAGTAGGCGGCCCCTGGTAAACGGGCTCTTCTTCCTCGGCTTCTTCCTCTGTCTCTTCATCGTCATCCGGTGTCAGCTGATTCGGAGACCCGCTTCCGGACCGAGCGTCCTCATCCACGCTGCGCCGGGCACTCCCATCTCTATCGCTGTCCCCCTCGTCATCGGAATCGTCGTCCGCACGCTTTGCACCGAACAACGAAAACCGGCTTGCCCGCTTCTTCTCCGAATTGGGGTCAAGGAGGTTGGCATTCGAATTTCGCTTGACAAGCGTCTTGCGCCTTGGTTTGTCCGGGACGTTTGGTTCAAGTAGGTTTCCGCTCGAGCTTCTCTTGACGAGGGTCCTGCGCTTTGTCGCCTTCTCTTCTGGTGCAGAGACAGCGGCAGCCGCGGCCTTACTCTTCGGCTTCTTCTTCTTCTCCGGCCCATACACCTCTGCGCCCAATTTCCCGGCAAACACATGGTCAGTGAAGGCACTGACGGGTGCCGCAGCGGACGCGTCGAGGAGACTATCAAGAGTGTCCATCGCGGACCCGTCCTTAACCTCAATCTTGGGGGCTTCGGAAGGCAGATCGAAGAAAGCGCTTGCACGAAGTTGCGGCGGAAAGCCGTCAGCAGGTAATGGACGAGACTTGCGGTTATCAACCTCGGTCAGACGTTGCGGTCGGCGGATTTCGCGTTGCTCGGGGGCCGGGTGAATCGTGCTCGCTTCGGACGGGTGTCTGGTATGCACCAGGTAATCTGGTCTCCCTTCCATTCCAACCGCGTGAGGGGTTGGGTCCATGCTCGCACGGCCCTCCCTACCGAGCAAGTCACCCATAAAGGGAGCGTCATCAGTATTGCTACGCAAAGCCTCGGTGGGGTCGGGAAGCCACATCTTGGACTCCTGGGGTGCCTTTGGCGGCAGAGTGCTGATGATTTGAGCACGACGCGCGCTGGGGCCTGCAGCCTTAGGTTTCTTAGACAACTTAGGTGGGAGATTCAACATGGCAGGCACAGGCGCAGGATAATAAAACATCTGCTGCCCCGTAGCTGGGTCAATGTATGTTGTCGGCCGCGGGGCTGGGGCAGGGTGAGGCTGTGGCGGCGTTGCATGACGTTCCGGTTCCGGCTGAGACACGAAGTGGCCAGCATCTGGGTCGCAGTGCACGCCGTCAAAATCGCCAAACGCTGCCTGAGCTTGTTCAAAAGTCATCCCAGAACCCGATGTCGTCGGCCTCTCCGGGTTGGCATGGTGAGTCCCATAGGGCACATACTCATCCGGCTGGTGCAGCTGCAGCCGGGTTGCCGCCTTGTCATGGAATCGGTGGTCCAGCGCAGGCTGGGCGAGGGGCGTTGCATCAGCAAACTCTGCCTCGATGAACTGGAGGGCACTCGTCCGGATGGCGTCTTCATCATCCTGAATCCCCCCACTACCAGCGCGGTCCGCCTCATCGAGGACCGCCTGAGTCAATGCAGTCGGGTCCTCGAGCTCAGCAATCTGGACGAGCGACAGCTTGCTGGCAACACTTCTGGTTGACGCTTTGCCTGGGCCATGGCGCGGAAGGAATCGGAATTCCTGAGCGTGCTCGATGTCCGCAAGGGACCCGGGCATTTTAGGATCATCGGAAATTTGCAACGGCATGCCAGTGGAACTTGCCTTGCTGCCGGACCGGAGACGACCCGATGCGGCGGACATGGAGTGGTGCGGGCTCATGACAAAGCCACCAGGCGAGTAACCCCCTGTTCGTGCCGCGTTGTTGATGCCCAGGATGGAGTTTTGTCTGCTCGCGACCGACAGCTGCGACTGGCCGTGCACTGACCCGGTCTCCGACGCCGTCGACGCAGCTCTAACACGCAAGATCGAAGACCGCCGGCTTTCCGAGCGCTTGAGTTCGTTGTGCTCTTCACGAATGGCTTCCTCGATGCTGCTCGTCATGGACAGCCGCTCGGCAGTGGCTTCAAGGGCTGCGATGTTGCCGAGGAAGTTTCCGGCTTTCGAGAGCTTGTTGGGGTCGGGGGTCGGGTGACTGAGGGACGGGCTTGCGCTAGACGAGGCGTGGAGAATCGGCTGTCGGGTCGGATTGGAGATAGCACGGCTCCGTCGTTCCGGTTGGGTCGCAGAAGGCGTAGGTCGGACCAAGGTGGTGTTCGCTACCACAGTCGAAGGAGGAGAATGATGAGCCGTCGATGGGGACAAATCAGGAACATTGTGGGCATGGGAGAGATATAAAACTGGCGCTGACGGACCAGGATTTGGCGTTGCAGCAGCGGTCTGCGGCACAGTGTTGTTTTCGACTTGGGTCGTAACGCAATCCTTATCGCCTATAGCGCCAAGGTCGTCTGATGCCAAAGATGCGTCGCGGGCGGTCGCTTTGCCGGCGGGCGAAGGGGGGCGCGAAAAGGACGGCGAGGGCGAAAGCGTCCGTGGAGGCGACACAAGGCCCGCAGAACGCTGGCTGGCGCTTTTTGTCCGGAGCAGCTCGTATCCCAGCGTTGCCGTTGACGTTGCTGCATGCAGAGCCTCAAACGACTCGACCTTGGCCCTGACGAGGGTTGAGCTCGCGGATGGAGCCGGGGCTGTGCTGTTGCTGCTGCTGCGACTGAGGTTTCCGTTGCGCCTCATGTTCTCGATGCTCCTCGACGTGCTCAGCAACCTGTCAGTCTCGAATGCAGCAGGCGACTTCTTCGATGAGAAGAAATCGCTGGTGTCAATGGACAGCGGGGTGAATGCTTGCTCGGCAAGGGCCAGCGATGGCAGGGGTGAGGAAGCAGAGGCAGGCGATGCCACGGTGGTCGCGGTTACTGGCGAGATGGGGGAGAGTGGTGATGCAGATTCCGGAACGGGGTCCGGCGTCTCCGCGAGGCTTCCGACTCCGGGCTGGTCGGCCTGGTCAATGGTGTTGGACCTCATCGCCATGGTGGTGTGAGCGGCGTGCGATAAGGAGCCAGCGATGGGCGGTGTTTCGTCGGCATGGACAAACCAGTAGGTGCTCCTTTCCGACCACCAACTTTATGCAGTCATGGCTTGGAAGTGGAAGCAGAACAGTCCAGAGCTCAGGTCACGGACGGGACCCGCTTGCTCTCCTGGCACCCTGACCGAACTGGAAATTGTGGATATCGACGGGGGAAAATCAAGATCCAGGCCGGGCACTACCGAATCGGCAAGCGCGTTTGGGGACTGGCGATCCTCGGGAAGAAGCAAAGATACTCCGTGCTCCGTATTCATTCATCAATGATGACGTTGGGCTCGACTGCTGGTTGCGCGGAAACAGTGGCGGCCTGCTCCTGTAGATCCTGTGGCTACCAAGTACGGAAGAGACGGACTCAACGTCGAAGAACTCGACACACCTCGCGGTGACCTGGAGAAGTTAACTTAATTTGTTCTTCAATTTCACGTAACCTCGTTATCGCAGAGGTACCGTGACCTGGAAATTGCGGCCTGCTTCCCGGTGCAGGGATTGTTGACGGCTGGACGGGTGGCACGGTGGGGCCGCCAGATCTTCCACTTCCAGCAGCAGGATCCAATGCTCTCCTCCTCACACACTACCGACCTTCATCAGCACAGCAATCGGGAGCATCGCTCGGGCATTTAAGCGTGCTGGACACCATCTGATTTTGGTCTGGCTTCTTGTTTCCACAGCTGGCTTATCTGGCCGTTCTTTGTGCGCCAAGATTTGCCCCGATATGAACAGCAGAGCGGCTCCCCAATTTACTGACATTTGTTCCTTTTTTGCTGCTCGCAATTTATGGTAAGGTAAGGTATCTTTCAGTCCAACCACTTGGACGCCCTGCAACTCTCAGTTTCCGCATCTTGTGAGATTCAACCCAGCAAATGCCCAAGGAAATTGGTCCCTGCAATGAGGCGCGGCCATCTGAATCAATAGACGTGGCGATACGGATGTGGAGTGTCTAACTGTTCTCCATATCAAGCTTCGCTGGCAGCGAGATGCAAGCCACCCGGCTACCCAGGTCTTAGATCTGCGCGGTTACTGCCTCTTCGAAATTGACAAGCCGGACATTTCAGAAGGCTCTTATCGGATATCGCGGCCTCATGATCGACCATCGAATAACTTAATCTCGATAACGTTAACTTGTGCAATGCCAAGCTCGGCCTGCAGTACCGTCATTATCAACCCCTTATTACCTGTCGCTGATATCAGCTGGGGGTTTGATGTCTGACCGATGCATTCCCTGATCTGAATGCCTGTGCCGGAGCGGGAAGGAAACGCCGCTCTCGTCATCGGCACCCATGGCCACGCGACCTGCCAGGAACGTCTCCTGTCCGTCCTTGGAGGGAGCAATCGGCGTACGGAGGTACCTCTGCCTCATTGACACACCAACTCATATTTCGAATCGGATGCTGTTTATTCGAGAACTATGTTGTCACCTGCTCAAACATGCCCTGCATAAGGTGCGATACGCGAACCCGGGAGCTTGCCTCGTGCCGGGTCCACTGGCATCCGCCCCCTCCGGCGATGACAGTTTCATCCGGCAACAGCCAATCCGGCCGCCTCACAGGGCTGGCCCCAGCCGTTGTCGGCCACATGGTGGCCTGGCCTAGCCTCGCTTAGATTGTACCGCAGCTTTGCCTTGCCGCCAGTGTCAGGGCGGCCTCGGTTTCGGGTGCTCGGAGGAAATGAGCAAGACAGCGTTATACCCGCCTAGAACAAACAGTAGGCTCTGGAAGATCAGGACTGCAGAAGTCGGGAGGGGTGAAAAAGCCGGCCACTTGGCCGCCATTGCTTCCTCGCTTTTTGATTGCCCATCCCACCCTTTGCTTCAGCACGCGATATACGCTCAGATTCATTCACTAAAGTAGGCCTCCTCGTGTTGCGATACGTGTTTTCAACTTCAACAGGCACACGGCTTGCATCCCACTAACCAACAGCCTTGCTTCCCTCCGCCGTCCCAGGTTGCACTGCCCCTAAACAAGGGGTATTTGACTGATCACGACCACAAATTGGGGTAGAGGCTAAGACTAAGTCTTGGTCAACAGCAGCAAGACAGTGGTACTCAAGGATGAAAATGAAGCCACCTTCGTGCGAAAGGCGTTCAGGTCGGGTACCTGCATCGCCGGTGTGACATTTGTGGTCGTCCATCAAGCTGTGAGTTGTTGTGTGTATTGTTTTCCCGTCTACTCGTCGAGGGCTCAAGATCGCCTATTTTCCTAGCTGCCAGATGGTGCTTTGTTCCGATGGCCCGACGAGTACGGAATCGGCCAAATTTGAAGTCGGTAAGCTAGAGCAGTTTTAACACCTTCTACGAGCCGGAATCTTGAAGATGGGGTGACCATTTAGTATGCGTATAGAAGGCATAGCGCCCGGTACCGTAGGTGTATCGCCGTATACCGAATAGCCTCGACCGAGTCTACAGTCACAGATCACCCCTCTAGCCTACTCAATGTAAGTAACATAGTGGCTTAGTCCCACACTCTGCCTTGTAATGCTATGCCGTGTCGTTTCATCTCGGGGACTTGCAGCACCACGTGTGCTGCTCCCTTCGTCTCATGGAACAAGTTCTGTGGATGAGCTTACACGACAGCGCGCGAGCTTGGTTCGCATGTTCGTCTGACGTCCCTTGTGTCCGTGCTGGAACCGCCCCAGGCCGAGGGGCGGTAAGTGTTACAGAGTGTACATGCTGTGGCAGTTGCGACTCCTAGCCTCTAGGCGGTTATGCGGAGCGTCGTGGCATTCGCGATGGCGGATAGCGTCTTAAAATCATTGAATATAATGCCCATGGCCGTTTCCCTGTTTTCCGTCACTGCGGTGAGGAGGATAGTCGATTGGATTGGCGGAGTTCGCTTCTCCCGTCACGAGACGGGGCCCTCCAAGTCATCTAACATTCCTCTTACAGCACATTAGGGACTTGGAATCATGTGCTCCAGCATACCTTGGGAAAAGACAAAACGTCGGGCGCGATGGGCTAGGGAATCTTATTTTTGCTATATGGTTACACTGGAATGCGAACTGAGTCAAGAATACCTCGATTGGCTCTGGCTGGTGAGTGTACTTTCAACTTCATTCCCTGCTCTTGAAAGCCACAAAGCATCTCTAAGTCCAGTCACCAAGGCACCTTGTTTAAGTCTCAGTACACCAGTAGCAGGTCAACGAAACGACCAACGCAAACGCTTTCCATCTGGGCGTCTGCTACCGTGCCCGAGGGCCGGTGAGCAGTCCAAAGTCCAGAGGTTCGCAGGCCGAGACTTCAAAAAATCTCAAGTTCGGCTAAGAGCTCTTTGCCATCAATGTCACCGGCCTGTGTGGGCTGCTACCCAACGTGTAAAGTTACTAATGTGCGAAAGGAGGCGAAGCTATCGGCTTTTAAGCCGCACATCCTCTGCATCTGAAAGCAATCGACTCTATTCTAGGGCTATGGTCTACACTTGGCTACCGACACGGACGGGAACTCGCCGTAGAGAGCAGCTCGAGGAGACATTGGCGTCCCGTCGGCAGCTACCGGGGCCGTCCCGTGCTGATGGTCTTACCGGCCTCGAGGAAGTAAGGTTTCCGACCCCGTTTAACCGTGACTGGGTTCTGATGTGAATTCAAAGGTTGGGGCCAGCATCGATCGATACCCTCTTCCATATGTAGTCCCACGTCATCCTCCAAGAGCGAGGGAGAGAAACTCGATCTAGATAACCGGGCCTACAACCAGGGCACGTACCGAACGCCGAGAGATCGAGACGTTCTGACGGCGCAGACGATTTAAACACTGTGTTGTGCGCCGTCGTCCGAACTGAGCTCCATTCTTCCCCACACTCCGAAGGAGCCAAGAATCCGGGGTAAGTGGGCTCAGGTTGTGGGGATTCCTGCGTGACGATCTCGACCAGCTATGGTGGTTTTGATGGCTCTCATGAACAGATGGATGAGGTTACTCGACGCAAACCCCATTCCGGCAATTGTCCAGTTGACCAGTTTCCATGTCTGGTGCATGCAGCGCAACAGCTGAGCGGAAGCGGTCTGCGGAGGGTTTCATCCAATCGACTTCTGGCGGAATGCCGCTGACCTTCTCCGCACGCGCTATGATCGGACCATTGCCGACTGCAGTGGATGGTGGAGGGGAGCGAGAGGAGCGGTCAGCCGAGGAAGAGCGCTGTTTGGACAGTTGGTGGCGGAAGGATGCATTGGTTTGCGGTGACCCTGATCCAATGCGGGGAGATGGAGACTGAAATCCAACATATCACGAGAGATGTTGGGTACCGGAGCCCTTGAAGTTCGACCGAGAGGATGTGTCCAGACTCTGGCGCTGGGGTGCTGTTCTTCCCGCCCTCTAATTGTCAATGAGCTGGGAATTGACTTTTGGGGCAATGTCTTCTAAGTGACCTGCCATGTCACGAAGCTTGGTGTTGATGGTGTCAACATGGTTGCAGCTCGGGCGGGAGCGGTGAGCACGGCATGGGTGTGGGTGGGTATCATCCCGGGCTTCCCCCCCCCCGCCCCCCTGCCAGTGCGGGCAGCGCGGGGGTCCCTGTGCGGCGGCCCTCACTGACCTCAATCCCCCGGAGGAAGTGCGCAGGACTGGGCAACACTGTGCCGGGTTGCGGGTTGCGGGTATCAGATGACGGGAGTGGTTGGGTGGTGCTCAATGCGGGAGCATGGCCGTTGAAGACGGGAATACGGATGTGATTAGTGTCGACTATGAAAGCGTCTGATGGGGATATCTTCGGGAAGTACAATACCGCCCTTCCGCGGACCGGGCCGTCTTCAAAACACTAGGAAGCGAGATTTGTAGGCTGGTGACTCAAAGGCTAAATATAGTGGGTTGGTGCTCCGAAGCCACTGGACCGGCAATCATGCTGTGTTGTTCCACGAGGTCTTTTACACCGATGGCGATCGCGGAGCCCTGCCGGAGTGTTTGGAGATGGCGGGGAGGCAACGTGTACCATACCGGGCCAGTGACTGGTAGCCCGGTGATATCCATGGATGTTTGTGTCCACCGGATCCAGAACCCGACACCCTAATATTGCCTGTTTCAATTTCGTAAGGCGCGAGGGTTTTTGCACCACGCCGGGCAAGTAAGTCACTTGATCGGAAAAAAAGCCCGTGGTGCTGCAAGTGAGCAGTGCGCTGACAGTGTTCGCCCTGCGCGTTCAACTCAGAAAGGTCTGCCGTCTCAAATAGAGAAAGAACCTGAAGTTCTCTTCAGAGTTCAACCAGCTGCTTGATCTGCAGTCGGCGACGAGCTAGGTTGCCAACGGATAGAGCTTGGTTGTCGCAGTGAGGGAAATGATGTCAGTCAGCGGCGTCTGCCGGTTTTTGCTTGGTTGAACGCTCAGCAAACCCTACCCGTCAATGTTCGAGTGTAACTGCAGTTGCCCTGCAGGGTGCGAGGAAGGGAAGAGTCGAAGGGCAGATGTAGCAAATCCGTGCAGATACTTAGCCACACGGTCCGTTCGAGCAACAAGCCGGCCTCGGCGGGCCCTGAGAATTGGGAGTCGATGGAGGTAATTTAAAAGGGTACGGATCCGTACAAAGATATCTCCTTTTTGCGTTCGTGTTTGTTGCTCATCTCTATTGTTCATTTCCGCCCAGTTCGCGAAAGAGAACACGAGGCAGGTGGGTCACGCGGCACTCAGCTTCGTTCAGGTACGGGATATCACACGGTGCGAGTACCCCTGAGTAACCCCGCCAAGCATCCCACCTGCCTTCGGCTCGCCGGTGCAAAGCATCGTGAGCTGCTTGATACAGCCCCGGTTCTTGTGACCGCTCCCTCCGCCCCCCCCACAGCCGTCCAGATAAAACCACTCTGTGTGCTCCTCTGTTGGATTGGACAGCAGACGGACGTATCTTTTGCCTAAAACAGTCATCTGAGCATTCCTCGCAGTACTTGTTCATCTTTCAAGTCCGATTGCCACCGAGACTTTGCCCGAATTGACCGAAAGCAGTTCGGCCCATACCCAAGCAAAAGTGGCGTTATCGATTTGGCCGATTCTCAGAACCGATAGCATTACCAAACCGACGAACACACGGATTGGGACAGAATTCGGACAGTGGAACACGAGAGAAGATCGAGTCACAACCCAGAATGTCCAATACAAAGGAGCGACCACGGGCGCGGTTTGCTCCTATCCCGATCGAGACCACCTTCGAGCGTTACCGCAAGACGATCCCAGCCGGCGAGCTTACACCGAGTCCGTCACCGCGCTCACCTTCGCCTCGACCCCTCGAAAAACGCAAGTTTGCTCCCCAGCTAGTTGAGTCCTCGGTGCGTCGGTCAAGGCGGGCGGGCGACGAGGGGCCTGCCACCAAGCCGACCGACAAGACCGACATCACACCTTACACGAACCACATCTATGCCCCCAGAGCACGGAGGCGGTTTGGCCATGGAGGACTGCCAGAGGAGCCGTTGGCACCGAAGGGCCATGGCAGACGGGAGTCATGCGACGACGAAATTGCCGGCGGGGTATTTGACCTGGTTGCCCGAGATGCGAAGAGGAAACTGCTGGAGGAGGAGGTGGCCATGAGTGCTTTTCCCAACAGCGGGCAGAGGACGGGCGGTGCGGAGCACTTTTACGTGCGGGAGGGTTCGGAGGACGATGGCCCCCGGGGTAGACCATTGACGAGAGGACCATGGAACGCCATGCACTCGCGGCGGAACTCGTCCGAGGAGGACATCAGCTGGGCCTTCAAGGAGATGCAGGAGCATGTCCAGAAGCTCAGCAGGATGAGGACCCAGTCCCGGATCGACACGTTAGATCTTGACAAGATGAGCATCGACAGCCCGCCGAGCGACGCCATGAGCCTGACGAGGATGCAGAGGACTTCCATGTCTGGTTCGCCGCTATGGACATCACGCCCATCATCAGGCTCCCTCGGCCCAATCAGCGAGACAAATATGTCCGTCCTCCGTGCCGAGTCACCTCTCCCGACCATTGGCGAGTCCACCATGCCGTATATCCCGCCAGAGTCCCCGCCGCTCCGTCGTATCGGCGAAAGCCACATGCCCTACATACCCTCGGCGCCCGCCGGCAAGGCTGCCGACATGCCGTATATCCCGGCGTCCCAGATTCCCGCCGAGACCAGCTTCGGCCACCACGCTCAGTTCACACCATACGCCCCGGAGCGCGACATGTCCCTGGAACGGGCGCGGCAACAACACCGCCTTCGGCTCAAATCCTCTCCGCCCATGCTCGGCCAGGATCTCGTCTTCCGCCGGTGTCCCTCGCCCAAGCAGACCAAGCTCGAGCCTGATCACCTCTGGGATGTGGCAACGGGCACCACCATGAAGGAGGACCACAACCGCGACCCATCGGAGCAACACGGCCTCTGGCGCGGGTACTGCTACACCACCAACCAGACCGAAAAGATCGCCGCGGTGGAACGGCCCCAGATGATCCACACGCCCCATCCACTTAACTCTCCCCACGACCCATTCGCCCAAGAGTTCAGCTCTGCTCCGCTCTCGCTGACGGACGAACCCAGCCCGCTGAGCTCCAGCAGCACGCCGCCAGGCACCGTCTCGGTCCCGCAAACCGCTCTGGCAGCTTTGCCCGAGCATCGCACCAGGTCCCACGTGCCCAAGGGCTTGCACATGCTGTCTAACCTGACCAACCTCGACGAGAAGCTGCGCCGGGAGAAGGCCGCCGCCGACCTGGAGGAGAAAATTGCCGCCGAGTTCACGGACCACTTCATCACGCAAGTGTACAACTACATCTCGCTCGGTTACCCGGCCACGGCGAGGCAGTACGACGAGGAGCTGAGCAAGATCAGCCGGATCGCGGTGGACGAGCTGCAGCGGGACGACGAGGCTATTATGGAGGGTCTCTGGGGAGGTGCATATCATGATGCGGCTGCTGGGTGGGGGAAGGAAACTGGGGATGAGGATATGAAGAAGGTCAAGGCCACGGGCCATATCATGCTGGACAGCGAGGCGAAAGACGGCGTCAGCGAGGACGACCGGTGTCCCCGGTGGAAGGCGCTCAAGCTGTACATCTATGAGTGGGCCCGCCAACACCCGGATCTGAATGCCATCAGCCCGCTGGCGTGGGGCGTGCAGGAGCGGAGGGGGAGTTGGGGCCAGTAAGCGGGGTTGGTGCTTCCGTGGTTTTCCTTCTCAGTCTTCGCTGTCTCGTTTCCATGGGAAGTGTTTGCTTGCTGCCCTATAATGGATCCAGTTCACCGGATAGCTCCTGGCGCGGTATAAACTCGGCCGGTTGACTACTTTCGGCTACGGCACATACAGCTGGGCTTCTGGGGCTGTACATGTACATGCTTTGTTTCCTTCTCTTCTTTCTAAGCATTTTCGGCGGGCAAGCGCGGCCTGGACGACTCTATGACCTTCTCTTTTTCATTCATTATTTCTTCAACCGGAGCGTGGTAAGATTTCTAAGAGTTCCTGGGTAGTCACCGCTTCCTTCATGGCGTGGCGAGACACCTGACTATTGTAGTGAGCTGGTAGTATGGTTGCTAGAAAAAAGGGGGCGGAAAACGGCGTCGGAGAGGAGGTGGAGCTGGGTTGCTTGGAGAAAGGCCAAGTCAAGGCGACGGGCAAGAATGACACCAAGGAATTTATCCTCTTGGGATTCTTATTCTTCTCGAACCCTCCGCTGTAACTTCTCGTCTCATTGCCAGGAACGCTACGAAAGCTCACTCTCGATCTGCTCGTTGGGCCTCTGAAACACCGATCCAACTAGTTGCCAAGGCTCCTTGAAAATCTCATGTGCCTTCCTTGTCTCTAACCTTCCGGTCTCAATGAGGTCTTAATCGCGAGGATCGATGCCAATTTCCTGCCCGCGGTTGCCGATGCAGAGCTATCCCTACGAATGACTCTGAAATCAATCTGGGAGGCGGCAGGACCCTGCCACGGGCCCCTACGCCATCGCGGAGGGACCTGGTTGTCTGGTTGAAATGGCCGTGTGTACCTGTTCGGCGAGACATAGAAGGCCATCTCAGCAACTTCGATGGATGTCGGCCTGTAAGTCACGGACGCATTTCTTCCGTTCCATGCCCCAACCGGGATGATTCACCTTGGATCTGAGGTTGTTTCACGAAAGCGGCTTCGGCAATGGGAATCGGGAAGTATACGGCTCCATGATTGGCAGTCCGGTATGATCCAGATCGGGTTTACATGTCCAAACCTGGAACACGGAACAAGATACATTAACACAGATCTCCGGGTCCTGAACCACACGTCCATCGATCCGCAAGCTCTTCCCAATGAGGATTGTCATGGCCACTCCGTGTGATTACATTCAAGGCGGGTGACATATCGGAGGTGGTCCTATTGTTGGTGTGCGAGAAAGAACCATGAGCCTGGGTTAAGTAATGAGATTTTACACATATAACAGGCGCTAGAATATCAACTGACACCCGCGGTTCTCTCTCCATCCTCTGAACTTACGGCCCCTTTGACGCAGCCCTCCTTCCGCGCAACGATGAAGTCCCTGCTCCCTGCTCTGATCCTCGCCGGACTCTCGTCCGCCAGCCCTGTCTCCGGAATCGAAGAGCGCCAAAACGGAGGCGTTGGCAATGGCCCGTTCGCGCCAGCGGTATGTACAAGCAATGCCTCCTGCTAGTGATTGTCAATTCAATTCGCGAGAATAAGGTACCTAACGCTGGCTTTTCTTGGACCTGCTGACCGAACAACCCGCAGGGCTACTATACAAGCAACGCCTTTGGAGGGCACACGTTCTACGCACCTAAGAATGTTCCGGCCGGGACCAAACTCCCTGTTCTCCTCTGGGGCAATGGCGCTTGCTCGGCCGATTCAACGGGCCAGGCCCCCTTCCTGACCCAACTTGCATCGTACGGCGTTCTCGTTATCGCCAGCGGCACACCAGGCGGCCAGGGCAGCACCACGGCCGACGTCATGAAGCAGTCGATCGACTTCATCACCAGGAACGCCGGGCAGGGCCAGTGGGCCAACGTCGACGCCTCGCGCATTGCCGCCGCCGGCTTCAGCTGCGGCGGCGTCGAAGCGTACGCCCAGATCAACGACGCGCGCGTCCAGCACATTGGCATCTGGAACTCGGGCCTGCTCAGCAACTACGACTCGGCACGGAGTTTTCGCAAGCCCGCCTTCTTCTTTCTCGGCGGGTCGAGCGACATCGCGTACCAGAACGGCGAGCGCGACTACAGCTACATGCCGTCCGGCACGCCCAAGTGGAAGGGCAACCTCAACGTCGGCCATGGCGGCACGTATAACGACTACAACGGCGGCAGGTACGGCGTCATTGGGGCCCACTGGGTGCAGTGGATGTTGCGCGGGAACTCTTCCGCCTCGGCCTACCTGACTGGCAGCGGCGCGAGGAACGACGGCTGGTCGGTGGCGTATGCGGACCTGGACAAGATCAACGTCACGCCCATTGGCAACTCTGGCGGCGGTGCGAGCACCACCACGACCACCATGACCACCACGACCTCGACCAACCCAGGCCCGACGGGGGGCAACGGTGGTGGTACCTGCTCGCCCCTTTACGGACAGTGCGGAGGCCAGGGATTCACTGGACCGACCTGCTGTTCGCAAGGGATGTGCAAGTACTCGAATCCGTGGTACTCGCAGTGCCTGAACTAAGGGTCTGGATGGTCAGGGGCAAGGGTTGCAGTTGGGAGGATTGGCTGTTTGAGGTTAAGATCTAACTCGGGGTGTAGGGTGACAGACTCATGTAGATAACTCGAGGCTTGGTTGTTGAACTGCCAGTATATCCTGTCGCCGAAGTCGATTTGTGCACTTGATTGGTCGGTGGTCCCGATGTTGTGCAGGCAAGAAAGGTGGTAATGCTAGAAATGTGAGCCAGGCAGTTTTGGCTGCAGATGTAGTCCGCGCCCCCACGAAATGGCCCGAAACCCCAACACGTGTATGCAAAGCGATGGGACAATTGACAGCCGGGAATTTGAGTGTGTGGCCTGTTTTAGGTAGGTGACTTGATTCGGCGGTTGACAGACAGGCGTCAGAGGAATCGATCTTCGCTTGCATCACGGTGAGAGTAGGAGCAGTTGAGATAGAGTTGGATTGCATGAGCTGTTGATTGTAGAGTAGTTGTCATTACGGACCTGGTCCAATAAAGCGGCTGACGAAGGGGTGAGAAGGAGTAGGGGTTTGCTCATATTTATTAGTTAGTTTTTGATTTACCAGAATAGCAGCTAACAACTTCACGGTTCTGGCTGAGAGTACTGATTTCTTTACTTGGAATGTGAGAGCTGGAATTTTGATGCCGACGATGTTCTGCGTCTGGCTCCGAAGTTCCGGACTTGGGCTGAACAGCGGCTGACAAGCGTTGTAATCGGCATGTGATCGGTCAAACTCGAAAGGTTGTGAAATCACTGCCGATCCACAGCAGGTTCGTCAGACCGCTCGTTATCTTATCAATGACCCAACTTGGCCTCTCCTCTGGGACTCGACATGCATCAGCACCGGATGCATTCCCTCTCCCGGCGGCAAATCTGCGAGTTTACCACATGGAACCGTCTCCTCTCACGCACCAGCCTCGGCCAGAGGTGTTCCAGCCCAAGATAGTCCGCCTGTACGAAGCATTGTTCAAGGTTTGACCTGTTCCTTTGCTCCTCGATTTTCCCACAAGCAACACGGCTTGCGCAAGCTGTATCGCCATGATGTCCAAGTCAGGTTGATCGAGTCGCTGACATGTCGCAACTCCATCCCACAGGTCAGTATTTCACTAGCCGTCGAAGTAGCCACCGCTGACCGGGATCCGCGAGAGATAGGACGACTCGGACGAGGCAGAGACGTCAGAGGGCTTCTGGAAGGAGTTCTTCCTCTTGCGGCCAGACCGTCCATCGCTGTGGCACATCCTCGACGACATACGGCCCAATGACCTGCTGCACCTGGAGCACCAGACAAGACAGCTGTTTGCACAGGCAATCGCGGCGTTGAAACACCCATACGGAATTGCAGATCTGCATGCGCTGGATGTAAGCATACACGAGGGAACAACATGTGGCTCTGCTGACCTGGCTGACTGGATTTCTGCAGACCTTGAGCACGTTTATGGTTGCCGTGCTGGGTAAGAAGTACACGAATCCGAGCTCCGACATCATCGAGCTGCTGGCAGGCCTCGACCACATCGACACCGTCTTCGCCGAGTTCGTCGGCGCACTCGATTCGCTCATACGAAATGGGAGGAGCAGCGGAAACGAGTGCTGCCCTAACGGTATTGGCCATGTCGGCCAAGAGCAGTCCCGGCTTGGAAATCGGGCAAGCTGCACCTACACGGCAGACCTGCAGCAGAGGGCAGTTGAGGTGGCTCTCGCGGTCACGTCCGGGGCATACCAGACCAGCCTGCTCACCTACTTTATTCAACGGGACCTATTCCCGGCCATAATTAACGTCAGCAAGCCAGCCCGTGCCTTCTTCTGTGATAACAAGAGCTGACTGCAGCAGTGCATCCAATCGCAAACATCTAACACACCGCCCAGAAGAACGTCGCCCTTCCTGCTTCTCGGCCTGTTAGCCAACTACAACAAGTTCGAGTTCCAGAACCCATACCAGATGCGCCTCAATGACTTCGTCAACGACCGCATCATCCGGGGTATAGTCCAATGCGTGGGCGAGACATGCCAGAGACTTCGGGCCCAGTACATTGATGTGCAGGAGGATTTGCCCGAGGGATGGACACTGGCCGGCACGCTAAACAAGATTGGGCTGGGAGTTATTGCGCCCGGGGGCAAGCCGCCACCAAAGCCCGTCTACGACGATGAGACAGCGAAGAAGATGTTTGCCGAACTGTAAGCCGATAATCTCAGCATTACTCACATGAGCAGCGCGGCGTATACGAACTGACATCCACAGACCAGGGCAAGAAGCTGCCGTGCTACTCGCCACATACGACTTCACGCACGCCAACAAGCTCTTCAGTCTCGAGTTGGTGACGTGGACACCTGACAAGAGCCAAGAGCAGCCCTTCGCAAGCTTCCTCTCTCTCACCTCGTACCTCCTCCACCACGCCTACCTCTCGCAGCGAACCACCCTCTACTGCCACCTCACGTTAATGATCGTCCGCCTCCTCATCGAAGATCCCATCCTCTGCAAGCGCATCTGTAGCGACGACAGCGCGCTGCCCGTGCGCCTCTGCCGGCAGCGCTCCCCCTACCTCCCGTTGGTCCGCGGCGAGCGCGTCCTCGCGGCAAGCCTAATGGACACCATGATCGGCGCCATAACGCATAACCTGCGGCGGCGGCTCGACGCGGGCCTGTACACGCTCTGCGTCGGCATCCTGCTGCGCGTGATCGGGTACCTGTCGCGCTCGCGAACCCGCCTGCAGTATCACTGGGCTGAGCTGTTCCGCGCTCTGCTATCGCTGGTGCGGTTCCTGACGACGTACGCGGCCGATCTGAAAGGGCTGCCGCATATCGACACGCTCCTGGACCACGTGGTGAATCTGCTTGCGCTGGGCTTGTCGGCTGGGGAGACGTTCCTGCCGACCCCGGCGGCGTATGATGATTTGTTTTACAAGGTTGTGGAGACGGGCGAAGTGTTGGTGAGGTTCCGGGATGTGTATGGGCTGGCAAACAGGGCGAGTAACTCGATTGATACGCTGGTTAATGTGAGTACGCACTACAAGGAGATGCTGGCTGACGGCGGTGCTGGTGAGAAGAAGGGGGAAGGGGGCGTGGGGAAAAGAGGCAAGGGAGGGCAGTTGACGAGTTTGCAGGTGGCCGAGGTCATCAAGCAGGGTTATGAGACGCTGAGTATCCAGGCCAAGGAGGGGTTGGATAGCTGGGAGAAATACCGCGAGGCGGATGAGAGGACGGTCCTGAAGAAGATGGCGCGGGCGGCGGTGGCGGACGTCAGAGGTATGATCGCTGAGTAAGGGCAGGGGAAAGTTAGCAATGGTCGATTGTTTGATGAATGGTGCAGTATCTCGGTTTGGTAATGCCGTGACCGATTTGTGCGGTTTCAAAAGCAAAGCCTTGGCGCGAAATATCATGCCCACAAGGTCACGCCGTTGACTTCGCCCGTTCGCGAGTGAGCCGTCTTACCTGACTTCCATGGAGCTACTTAATTGTTTCAATGTTTCAGATCCTGAGACTTCAGACCAGTGTTGCTGGGTTGAAAATGCAGGTGTACGGAGGTACCGAGCGAGTGCAAGTGTACGGATCCGTACGGAGTATCATCAATCGACCGTCGAGTCCAAGTGGTCCGGCAACACTGCGATTCCAAATGCCGAGATGCTGATTGGTCCGGCGGAAACCGGGAAACCGAGCTTTGGCATCATGTCATGGGAATTGAGCTGCTTTTGCCTTTTGAAAATCAAACTGCCGTCTTCCACCGGGACAACGAATCTCGGGCACTTCGAAACACGACACCACTCCAAGGCCCCAAAATCCTCAAGCCCTCAATCCACGCCAACAATGAACGTCCCAAGCTTCTTAACGAGGAGAAGCGTCTCCATCTGCTTCTCGTGCCGCCGCAACCTTATGCGCCAGCGCCAATTCTCAACGACACCAGCGTCGCTCGTCGCCGCCTTCCAAGCGTACACGCTCCCTTCCCAGCCACCGCCGTCGCCGCGCAACGCCGCTATACCGGACACCTCCGTCGCAAGCCCGATACAGGCCCCGAGTCTGCCCAGAGTTCACGAGACAAGGCCGCCGAAGCAGAGCGGAGCGCCACCGGAAACAGCGGCGAGCCGGTCGCCAGCCTCGATCCTGGAGCAAGAAGCCCAGCAATCCAAGCCAGAGTTTGCCGCGACGCCCTCATCGCCTGCACCCTCTACTGCCACGCGACAACCGTCCAATCAATCACAACCCCTCTCCTCAGACACACCAGCAACAACAACAGCAGCAGCGGCAGCACGACCTGCCCCGGCCACGCGCCCACGCTCCAGACTCCGCGCCCGCAAGGCCGCGATGAAGCTCACGCCAGCGGCCGTCGAGCACTTGCGCACGTTGCTAGACCAGCCCGACCCGAAGCTGATCAAGGTTGGCGTGCGCAACCGCGGCTGCTCAGGGCTGGCGTACCACCTCGAGTACGTCGACAAGCCCGGCCCGTTTGACGAGACGGTCGAGCAGGACGGCGTCAAGGTGCTTGTCGACAGCAAGGCGCTGTTTAGTATCATCGGGAGTGAGATGGACTGGGTTGAAGATAAGCTCAGTCAGAGGTTTGTTTTTCGGAATCCGAATATTAGTAAGTTCACATTTGGGCTGTTTTGTTTCTTGTTTGGTTGGATTTGTGTGCTGACTGGTGGTAATTTAGAGGAGCAGTGTGGTTGTGGCGAGTCGTTTATGGTTTGATGGATGCATGGGATGGGATCGATGAGATGGGAGGGAGAGGACGGGCAGGCATTATGCATAGTCCAACGCTGAGTCAGGGACAAAGAATCGAGATGTTTTGAATATGCCTCCTCACTCTTCCTGAGATGTTGCTGCTTGGGAGCGCCTCAACTAGGCGCATCAGATCGGAATTTCAACAGATGCTGCCTATGTAGTTCGGTTTGCTTTTAGAGTCTGGCGACATGCTTGGTTAGAATACCATTGACAGCGTCGTTTGCACTGAGAGGTTGAATCCTCTTGTAGTTGACCAACAACTAGAATCAAGTAACTATATCATTTACCTTCTTACCCAGCCGTCTGATCTTGGTGGAGGGACGGGACGGCGGGAGCTTACGGATACCCCGGCACCCATTGCCGAACCGTTGTGGAGGGTCCCCGGTCGTTATGCTGCAGAGTGGAACCAGAAAGTCGCGTCAAACTGTCGCGTCTTTGGCGTTCCAGGTTGGCCGTTGACTTGCTTCAAACTTTGTTTGAAACAAGTACCCTAACTTAACCACAGACTTGCTTGCAGCTCTCTACAATTGTCCACGCTCTTCATTACTGCCATGGTGGTTTGCCCTATCTGTAACCGGGGCGTCAAGGCTTCCGAAATCAACAGCCACATTGACTCGGGCTGCCAGACATTCATCCTCGACGAGACCAAAGACCCGGCCTCGTCCTCACCTCCAAACGGAACACAAGCCAATACTCAGAGCCAGCCACCGATCTCGACGCAGAAAAAGCGATCGGCGTCTACCTTCTTCCAGACCCCCACCGCGAAGCGACAGCTCACAACTGCCAGGGCATTCACGCCGCTGCAGACAAACGGCAATGGAGGGACAAAAGCTGGGGTCAAGCGGAGCTACGATGAAGGACCGGGAGACAGCCGCTCGCCAGCAGACTCAAGAACCGGTGGGAGCGGGGACGGGGGGAATAAAGACGACCCTCCGTTGGCAGACTCGCGGCAAGCCGATGACAGCGCAGCCAAGACCAGCGTCCCCATGACGAAACGCTCCAAGAACACCCGGACGGCTCCGCTAGCAGAGCGCATGCGGCCGGACACACTGGATGATGTCTTTGGCCAGGACTTGGTCGGCCCGAACGGGGTGCTGCGCTCGCTGATCGAGACGGACCGGGTGCCAAGCATGATCTTCTGGGGCGGGTCGGGCACCGGCAAGACCACCATCGCTCGGTGCATTGCCCGCCGCGTGGGCAGTCGCTTCATCGAGTTGAACGCCACGAGCACCGGTGTGTCCGAGTGCAAGAAGCTATTTGCCGAGGCGGCCAACGAGCTGGCGCTCACGGGGCGGAGGACCATCATCTTCTGCGACGAGATTCACCGCTTCAACAAGGCGCAGCAGGACGTGTTTCTGAAGCCCGTCGAGGCAGGGACCATCACGTTAATAGGCGCCACCACCGAGAATCCCAGCTTCCGAGTCCAGGCGGCGCTGCTCAGCCGGTGCAGGACTTTTACTCTTCAGGCCCTCACCGAAGAAGACCTCCAGCGCATCCTGCTGCGCGCCCTGCAACAGGAGGTCGAAACCGAAGGCCTCGAGCTCAGCCCCCTAATTGATCAAGAACTCCTCCGCTACCTCTCCGCCTTCGCAGACGGTGACGCCCGCACAGCGCTCAACCTGCTCGAACTCGCCCTCTCCCTCACCACCAACCGCCCCTCAGACCCGGACAACCCCTCTCCCGAACCCGTCACCAAAGAATCCATCAAAGCCGCCCTGACAAAAACCCTCGTGTACGACCGCGCCGGCGATCAACACTACGACACCATCTCGGCCTTCCACAAATCCGTGCGAGGCTCCGATGCGGACGCAGCGCTCTACTACCTGGCGCGCATGCTCCAGTCGGGCGAGGACCCGCTCTTTATCGCCCGCCGCATGGTCGTCATCGCGTCCGAGGACGTCGGCCTGGCCGACAACTCACTCCTGCCGCTCGCGACGGCCACCTACACAGCCACGCAGCAGATCGGCATGCCCGAGGCGCGCATCCCGCTCGCGCACTGCGCCGTGGCGCTCTGTCTGGCGCCCAAGAGCACGAGGGCGTATAGGGGTTTGAATAACGCGCTGAGCGCGCTGCAGGAGCCTGGGGTGGCGGCGCTGCCGGTGCCGGTGCATTTGAGGAATGCGCCGACCAGGTTGATGCGGGAGATGGGGTACGGCAGGGAGTATAAGTACCCGCCCAACTATAAAGATGGGAGGGTGAAGCAGGATTATTTGCCGGAGCGGTTGCTTGGGAGGAGGTTTCTTGAGGAGAGAGATTTGGGGACAGAGGTGGATCCGGATGTTGAGATGGGTGAGGCGGAGGGTTGAAGGCTATGTACGGTCTGGATTGGGGTTGTGAGAGGAAGAAGGGGGCTTCGCGTTCGTTACATGTGGGAGAAAGCGGCAGGAGACCTGTTGGTTGGATGCATGCGGCTGGATACAAGGTCGGCGTCTTGATTTATGGATATGAGGGCCCTGGCTGCAAGCAGTGCTGCTGTGTGTTGAATGTTCCCTTGCCTTCCCATACCTGGATCTACATGAGCTGACCTGCGCTGAAGTTCGGCCACTGGGCATGGGGCTCTCACCGCTGCCCCCAGCTGCACTGTAGTTTGCGGCTGCCGTGGTGCGTTGCCCAATGCGGCATGCCTTGCGTCCGCCCTCAGCGCCCTGCACTCTAGGCCGGGTTCAACCACTGCTGCCAGTCCAACATCACGCCCCTATCGACGAGACTTCACTCCAACACAATGCCAATGAACCGAGCGATAAACACAGACCCTCACGCGCAACCTCGAGAAGAGGTGCATCGGCGCCATGTGTCCTTCTGCACCGAGTACTCGCTCTGTAACATCTGTGGCTCTAGGTTCTCTCAGGATGAGGAGGCTGGGGCAAACATGGTTGCATGTAAGAATCAGGCATTTTCGTGATTCCCCATTTCACCTCCCTCGCATCTGCTTCCCTTCTTTTTTTGCCATGCTTGCTTTCCCGCTCCTTTCTTCAACACCGTCTGCGTAAGGTTTTTGCTGACTGACAAATTCAGTGGTTGGCAATGCGAGCTCAACGGCCTTTATGAGAGGCTTCATGAACCCTTTCCGGAAGAACGAATGGGGCGATCACATGGTCGTAGAGGTCCGTAAATGGTACCTCTGTCAATACGACGAACTTGTCTGCTACAAGGCCCACGGCCCTTCACGGCCAGGCTGCGCAGTCCACTATGACTGCCTCAAGGTGTTCATGCGCAACTGCACCGCCAACGATGTACTGGACCGTCTGTGGCAGACATGCGTGTGGCGGCGCGTGCCCTGGATCGGTGCCAGAGTCCCGGAGCTTCGATTGCCCAAGAGGTCCGTCTGGCGCCTGATTGACGCCTTCATCCTGGCTTCCGAGAGGCTTGGGATGCGAGAGATTGCCGCTATGCCTCGGGAAATCCTCGGGAAAATGCTGGAGATGGTGAGGCGATACGGCTACACAGACTTCTGGGAACGCCTGGAGGCTCTCGACCTGGCGATACGCCTATCCATTGCCCCTTCACAGCCTTTGAGCATTGTCAATCTGGGCCAAGTCGTGTCCTGGGAGCGTGGCACATCCCCTCAGCTCGCTCCCGAAGAGTCGCTAAAAAGCCTTCTCCCGTTTATTCGCTTGACCATTGACCACGAAGGGCTGAAGATGGTTGAGCGCTTGTCAGAATGGCCCGCATATCAACGAGAGCGGTTCGATGACCAGCTTTTCGTCGTCGAGAAGGAGGACCGTTTCGGAGTCACGCTTGCGCGGTTCAAGGTACGTGTCAGGGCATGCGCAGTGTATTGTCGGCTAACATGTGCATTGCTAGAATGGCCTCCTGAACCTGTCGGTGCTCGAAGACATCGTGAAGCCCGATTATGCCGTTTGGGACACACCCACACCCCCTGACCTCACCAGCTGTCTCGTACGGCCTGATCAGCCGCAAGGGTGGCGCCGTTTCCACACCGTCAATCTGGCAGACATCACCGGGCTCACCTTTTTGATCAGTCCATGCAGCTCGGGAAAGATTTTGGGCATTCATGCGCACTCTAGAAACCGCCCTTCGGCGCTAAGCACGTACGAAGCGCGCCATACAACCCCCAAGGATTGGAGTTTCGACGGTTATCTCCTGGTCCATGTTCCCTTGTCTCGCCATGACAGTATCATCAGCTGCGGCCCCCTAGTGAATCGAGACTTTCTGGCAGGGAAGAAGCTCATACATGGCTCGACTAAGTTCATGGTACGTTCGTACACGACTCCTTCTTCTATTATCTCCTCCGCATCGTGGGGCCGATCTGACACTGGCATGGTAATCAGATCAGAACGCGGCTATCTGGCGAGATCATCGTTGGGGCCCCTGCCCAAGAAACAATAATAATACGAACACCAGGTAGGTCTGATGAATTGAGAGGTTAGTCCGATGATCTGTTTGCCCGCAAAACATGCGTTTCTAACTAATATCTGGTAGTCTTTTCCGAAGAGAACGAGATGAAGAACTGGGCATTCTTCGTCAGCGACCCCGAACGACCCCCCACAACTCTCATGTACTGCACCGGGCCCCGCTGGAAGCGTGGCTGGAGGCACGAAGGCATCTCCATTATTGCCCCGTACGATGGCAAAGGATCTGGACAGGCCGGCACGTTGCAGGAGCCGTCCTACTCTCCCCCGCCCAACCCCTTCAAGAACTACTGCCATTCCTACGCGCCGCTGGAAAACGTCAGGCAGGTCCGTGTCTTTTACAGGGAGGACAAGGTCAGCCCGGGCGGCATCCACTGCATGGGCATGCTGCTCGACTACGACAACAGCGGGCAGAGGGCGCTGGGCGAGTGCCGCGTCGGGTGCGCCCCGTCGAGAGCGTACGGACGGCCGTCGTCTATTGCATTTGTGAATGTTCCTGCGATGGAGATCCGGCCGCCCAAACACAGCTCCAGGGCGTGTGCAAACCGCGCTTTTCCCCGCGTAAAGGTCGCGTTCGATGGTGTTCCACCGGGGGAGGGCGGCATGTTGGAGCAATATGCCATGGCTGGCATCGCCAACTTCTGGTTTGCCGACGGGAAGTCAGCTATGTCAATCACGGGAGGCAGGCTGATCGGTGGCGGAGATGCTTGATTAGAGGGGACATGGGGGGTCAACAAGGCGGGAGTAAGATTCAGGGGAGTTCGGACTCGAATCCTGCTTAGCAATGCTTCTTGATGGGGAATCCAATTTGAGCGTCCCCATCCTGACCCCCACAGCCAGGCAATATCAAAGTCAAAGCTGGCTACCTGCCCAAAGCCACGAGTCGAGGCATATCAAGGCCTATCGTCTGTCTACTCCCGCCGGATGTACACACTTGCCTCCCCGAACGCTTTCTCAGGGCCAAGGCGGACCGGCTCATGGTAGTAGTCCCGCACCATGTCTCGCAGACGCGAGGAGCCGGGATCACAGCTGTGTCAGAAACCGGTCAGTCCACGTCACCCAGTCACTCGTAACTACACTGAACTCGACAAGGGGCGGTCCATGCACCATCGAATCATGAAATCAACTCACAAATGCTCCGGCCCATGGCCGGGCCACATACAGTTACAGAAAGCAGCTTCCTCGGGCTCGGACTTTACGTGGTTCCATGCCAGGACGGCCGGGCGGGCGATGTCGGCGATGACCTGCCGGACGGGTATGTTGGGGCTGAAGGAGATGACGATGCTCTCATCGTCGACCTCGAGGAACCCTCGCGGGTCGCCGAGCACGGTGATGCCGGTTTCTTGCAGTACCGCTGCGTCGGTTTCGGTGTAACTTGGGTCTTGGGCGAAGCACTTGATCTCTGGCGCTCCTTCGCCGGGCTGCTGCTGCTGACGGGAGAAGATGTCCCGGAGCGTGAGCATCAGAGCGTGTTGGTGTATGATGCGCGATCGTCTCGCTTCGTCGTCGGTCACAACGGCCATGGTCGAGCAGGCAAAGGCGACGATCTTGCTGACTTTGGGCAGCCGCCGGTCTCTGGTTTCGAGCAGAGATCGCAAGTCTTTGCAATCCTCGCTGTCTTCCCAGCTCTTGACTCCAGCGGCGAATGCTTCGCGCAGATTGGCCACCGAGGCGCAGTCAGAAGGGACCAGAAACTCGCCGGTTGCCTTGTCTCTCACCAACAGCGGGTAGAGTAGCTGTGTTGGAGAATATGCCGCGTCAGGGTCGAAGAGGTCGATGTCGTCAGACCGAGTCAAGTGCTGAACTGCACGGTAATCGAGATAGGGATCTCCTCTAGCAAGTCGGGGCGGGCGATTCGGTTAGCCAGTAAATCATATGGTTGGGGCAAGGATGATTGGAGGGATGAAAGAGACAGGGACGGCATCTCGTACACAACGAACTCAGTGTCCTTCCACTCGTCGGGATGGTAGGGCTTCACTGATCCGGTCTCTAATACATACTCGACTACTCGCCCGTCGACTGTTGGCATGGAGATGATGGGGGCCTTCGCACCGTTAGGGGGTGTGGGTGCGTTGCGGCAATGCTCAATTTGTTCCAAAGCGTGCTGGAAGACCTTCTTACTAAAGAAGGGAACCCCTTGCTCATAAAGTTCGTGGATGCGCTTCTTGACCTCATCTCTTGCCTGCATGAGCTCGGTCTCCATGAGGCTGCGGCCAGTCCCTACGCATTTGCCACGGGAGACGTAACATGATATTTCAAAGAAAGGTGCGCTCCTTGTTTGGTAGGCCGTGTTCCCGGCCGCAGGCGGAGCTGGGGTAGCCATGTATGAGGGACTGTGGTGTGAGATGATGTTGGAGAAGTAGGTGTGAAAGGGAAGTATTGATTACAAGTGCGCGGGAGAGAAGCTGACAGCGGCAGGGTGCTTATATGCCTTTTATCTTAGTACAAGGCAACACTGCGTTCAAATTGGCCCAACTGCGCCTGCAGGCTGCAGGTGATCTAACCAGTCCGGACTAGGCAAGGAAACGTCAATCAGTGACCCTCTTGATGCAAGAATGTACCAACTACCAACAACACCAAGCTTCGATTTTCGAACCGAGACTGTGTCATTGTGTCGTCTGGTGGAATAGGGGTTGCGGGGTTTAGCAGCGCTCAGTTGGGTCAGCGCTACAATGGCTCCAGGTCTCTCTGTCATGACTATGAGCTGAAACACGTCCAACCTGAAAATTGGTGAGAACCCATGAAGCAGACAGTCTCCAGTCAAGAACGAGAAGCTATGATATTTGAGAACAACTTCCTTCCAGTTCTTATCTCTTTGAACTTCTGGCCTCAAGGAGCTGATGGCACGCAGTGCTAATGTACACGCAATTGTAAGGCAATGTATTTACTTATAGGTACGTCGATACCGGTACTCTCGTTCCTTGAGCCGTCGGGTCATAAGACGGGATATGTTGGAACGTGGTGTGTGAGCTGGTAGTTCATCACGTAGCAGAACAAATAATTCGAGCCTCCGATATGTTTTCGTCCGCTTCTTCCCACTCGCCAACACCCCCCTCCCCCCAGAAAACCCCCACCTCTCACCCAGGGCTGCATTGACACCGGTCTATTCACCCTCGCTTGTTACAAGATGCCAAACACACACAAGGTGACACACCCGACATAGGAAGCGCTGAAAGCTGACTCGGGCACCACAGCTTGGATGACGGTGTTTGCCATCGACAGGCAAAGAGATTGCCCCTGCAGTAACGGACATAACCAAACGGGTTCGCAGCGGAGTCGCCGGAATTACGCTACCTTAGACCTCAGCAAAATGCGTGCTGGGCTCAGTAGAGCACAAAGTCTTAGGTGTGCGTGTTGCCGGCTGCCCGGCAGAAGGCAAGTTAGGTAATGGTTGGGATATCCGACCCTGCAATTCCAAGTCTGACAGTCACTTCAGGTAGTCTGTGTATATTCTTCCCTCCCCACCGAGAAAGGGGGTGAGCCAGCAACGAGAGGGATCACCAAGGCGCTTGGAAAAGCTCAAAACAAGAGTCTACGGATAGTGGCAGGAGCCTTCAAGTCCACACCCACTCGGAACCTTGAAACGGAGACATGGGTGCCGCCACTGGACCTTTACTTCAACAAACGACTGGCTGACTTTGAGGCCCGGCTTCAAATGCCCACTCCGGCTGACGGCCGAGGCGGAAAGAATACTGCAGGGAGTATTGTTGATGCGGCCTGCGGCAAGATATATCAGATCCTCAACTCGAGGACGGATAACAGGGGCCGACCGCGAGCCTTTGGGCCGCAGGAGCCCACAGCGATAGAAAAAGCCGCCAACACAATTGCAGTTTGGACGGGAGGGACTGCCGACACGGACAGAGTAATTGAGGAGGCCTGGAGAGAGAGGTGGCTCAAGGAACGAGACGGCCGGACAGCAACGAGGCCCGCAGATGACCTTGACCACCAGCACGAGACTCTGTTCCAAGACAAAACCCTAAGGAGACACGACGGCCTCAGCAGAGCGAAGAGTTCACTGTTGATCCAGATTCGAACCGGGGCCATAGGCCTTCGGGCTTTCTTATTCGAAAGGAGAGTCCCAAGAGTCCCAGAGGTACTGACGCCTATATGCGAGTGTGGAGAGGGGCGAGAGACTGTCGAACACCTTGTGATGTGGTGTTTGGCCCCACCGTTGACTCGAAGATGGGAGAGAGCCGAGGTCAGAACGCGAAGGGACATTTATTCTGTTCTACAGGGAATCAGTCCCAAAGCTGCACGGCTAACGGGGAGGATCCTGGACTGGCTGATGGACTCGGGGAAACTGCCGATGTACAGTCTGGCCAGGAGGCTGGAGCTGGAGCTCGCAGTCTAATACCCTTTCCTTCGGAGGCCAAGAGGCCTTCCCACTTTGTATTTGCAGGATCGCACACTGATCGTTTCCTTGATTGTAGATATGGGTTTTTCACCCGGCCCACGACGGCGCGGTTTTCCTGTATAGTAAGTAGTTGAAGGTCCGGCAAGCCCAAGGGCACAGCGGTGTAGGAATAATAAAATATTCTTCCCTCTAAAGTCCGGTGCCGAGCGACCAAATTATGTGAAAAAAATGAATGGGATTCCCACCCGGCCGCCCTTTTAGATAACGTTACATTATTTTTTGTTTTCTTTTTTTCTTCTTTTTTTCGCTTCAGCGACTCTGGCGAGATCGTCCAACATTGTCATGGTGGCTACCTCCCAATCTCTGACCGTCGTCTGTGAGTTGAATGCGTGGGCTGCCTGGCAGGAAAGACGAGCAAATGCATTGTCCAGCATGTAGTGCTGGACGCGACGGAAGGTGAGGTTGGGCGATTCGGGATGCGTCCTCCGTGACGGCCGCTTTGATGGAGGATATGTATGTTAGCTGTTGGGATAACGTAACGACATAGCCGTACTCGAATCTTCCAACATTGAAGGATACTCGGAACGAGTAAACAGAATGGCAAGAATTCTACCTGGCGTGGGCCCTTGTAGATAGCCCGTCAGCATCATCTATGAGGCACCTTGGATACAGCCTCCAAGGTACCTTGGGTGATGGTCGGATTGTGTGTTTGGTGACTCGCACGGCGAAGCAAATGGGGAACAGTTGTTATGATATGGTTCCCATTGCATACATCCATGATGGAAGACATCCGAGAGCTTAGTGTCGACAACATATTACGTACATACTTACAGGCTGAAACCGTCTTGAAATGTGTCCGATTCATAACCAATACACTCCTGAGAATAAACGCGGATACATGGCCTCAGAAACACAATTAAGGTTCTGCACCGACATGTCGAAAGGTACTTGTCGGGTTAGGACTCGGGTACCAAGAAACGAACAAAACAGAAAACAAAAGAATAACTACAGGTAAACAAAGGTTTCAGAAAGATGCCAGCCACGATGGATGGTGAGTAAATCCGAGGTACACAAGTAGAACATAATAAATATGCAATGGAGTACTCGTCAATCATGAGGACCAAGCAGTACCTACTAAGTTACTAACCTACGGTTTCTGTTGAGACAAAACCTGGAAGTCACAAAGGTTGCACGTGGGCTCAGCTTGACGTGTCACCACAGCCTACTGATACGCCTTGCTCTCTCGAAGCAAGGTCAGGAGACGCCCTGATGAATAAGCCACCACCCCAAAACGGCAAGTTAAATACGTACTTCTCAGTTGGGCGCTCACCTATCGGCATTACGCATACACACCACGCTCGACTGGCAAGGGGCAGAACCATCCCTTTTTCCAACACGCTCCCACTCCCCAGTGTCTCACTGAGCCATCTTGCGTCTTCCTTTTGTTCAATCTCCCCTTCGACGATTGAACTTTAAAATCTTCAATTCTTAGCCTTCCATCGGCCAAAATCTGGCGTACCTAACTCATTGACCCTCCCTGCTAGCCTCCGCCTCAGGTCCCACCCACGCTTCCATCCCCGCGCTTCCAAACCTTGGAAGTATTATTTGATCTCAGCGATTCCGTCGTTTATAAATCACAGCTGTGGCTCTGGCCCCGTCCTACTCAGTGCAGCACAGCACACCAAAGAGGTTTTGATGTTGGGATGAGCCGCTGTTTTCGTCTCCCGTCTATTATCTAAACCCGATGAACCATGGCAACTAGCAAGTTCCTGAAACTGCATCCCCGCCGTCCGGGTGCTCGGTTGGCGGTGCAGTCAATGCAGTCAAGCACTCGAACCTGCCTCTGTCTACATTCCAGACTTCAACTCCGCAACCTCCCTCCGTGCTCCCCAGCGGCATACGACCCCTATGTACAACCACGCCCTGGACGATATGGCCGGCCCTGGTGGTGCTCTGGGGAGTTTGTAGGATGTTCATCCAGCAGCATCATGACCGCACGGATAAGAGCATCTCGCCGCCGCCACAACATGCACGATGTGTGGATATCGGAGGTACGTGAGATATCCTAGTACTCGCTCCATGGTCTCGATCTGCATCTGACTCGGCGGGCGCCTTTCCGCGAGATAGGGAACTGGTCCGCAGATTTGGATCACATTTCGTTTCTGACTTAGCTTGGATGGACGCTCTCGCCTTTCCGATCCAGGATTGGCCAAATGACTATCTTCTCCTGTGTAAGATGTCAGGACTTTTGCGCATGAGTTATCGACCGAGGAAAGACACCCCGCCTCTCACCAACCATCCCTTGCACACCCAGAGATCATGCCAGGCAATCCAGGTGTCTTGAATCCAGGTTCCTCGGGCTCCTTTTTCGCTGGGAATTTCCTATCCGCTCCCACGGCAGCCATTTCCTTCATTCTTTCACCGCTGCCTCCTCGTCGAGCAAACAAGCTCACTTCCTTCAACTGCCCAACGTGAGGGGGTTCTTTCATTAGAAAGGAAACCCTTGACCGGCATATGCAAGAGTAGCAGCACGGTGTAAGATCCCTCGGCCTTCACAATCCAGAAGAACATCTTTGCCCGACTCCCGGATGCAGGAAGTCTATCAGAGGCAAGGGCTTCGAACGGCGCGACAAATTGAGGGAACACCTGATGAACAAGTCAAGCAAGCCCACTAGGACGCTACGCAAGGCGCGCCTGCGTCTCTCGTCAACAAACCCCACGGCCGCGACTTTACCTCCGTCCCCCCAGAACCCTGAGGCCGTTCGTCCTGGTGCGAGCGAGACCTCTTCAGACGACAGGAGCAGCCGTGAGCAGGAAGAAGTCAGTAGTACGACACAATCCGGCAATGAAACCCCCAGCATTGTGGAAAGGGTTGCTTCCTGCCAGAGATGCTGCCAGGCTGACGAGGAACACCTCTGCGCGGTGGAACGAGAGATCCGCGATATGGAGGAAGAGCTTCTGGCACGAAAACGGGTGCACCGGCAAGGGCGGAAGAGAATTGTTGCTTCGCAGAGCAGTATCGACAGTTTCACGAAGCAGCAGGGGCTATTTACCGAATCACCCATTCAGTATACATAAAACCGCATCTTCCAAGGCCCCCCACTCTCTCTCCGGTCACATTAACTTCGGCCTTTCAGCTCTCGAGCTGCTCGCTCGTGTGCTGCACCTCCTCCCTTGACCAGTTCTCGATTCTCTCATCAAATTGCATAGCCTCCTTCAGCCCGAGCTGCTCAAAAAAGTCGACAATCGTCTTGCCCCGGCAGTAGTTGAGATCAGATCCCTCATCCTTGAGTCCGCGGTACGACTCTTGCATGGCGAGCATGGCCGAAATGAAGCCTGTGCACGGGTATATGGCTGCAGCGAAGCCTAGCTCCTCGCATTCGGCCGTGGTCAGGTTGCCGGTGAGGCCCTTGAAGGTATCAGCACACATGTGTTACTTCTCAGACGAGCGAGAAAGGCGTGTAAGTGTAAGTCTTTACATCTGGGAGGACATCAATCATGACCGGATGCGGCGCAAGCTCCCTAACCAGCTCGCGCATCTCGTCCTTGGTCCAGGTCGACTCCATAAACGCCATATCCGCGCCCGCCGCCATGGCCTCCTTGAGCCTCCTCACGCCCTCGCGAAACGCCTCGGTCGACGCCCGATCACCGCCAAACGACTTTGCATTGCGCGCATCCGTCCGCGCGATGATGGCGAACTCCGCATTCGTCCTGGCCTCGACGGCACTCCGGATCCGCTCGAGGTAGACCTGCAGATCGACGACATCCTTGCCCTTGAGCTGGCCGCACCGCTTGGGAAACACTTGGTCCTTAATGTGGCAGCCAGCCACGCCGGCGTGCTCGTATAGCTGGATGGTGCGGCGGATGTCGAGCGGGCCGCCAAAGCCCGTGTCGGCGTCGGCGATGAGGGGCAGGTGCGTGTTCTGCGCCACAATCTCGGACGCCTTGGCAGCTCGTCAGCCGTCATGACCGACAGGTCCGGCTGCCCCACCACCGAGCCCGTCGCCCCGCTGCCGGCGAGGTAGAGGAAGTCAAGGTCGAAGCTGGAGGCTACCTTGTGGAGATGCCGTCGAAGGCGCCCGGGCCGATGAGGCATCCTTTCTCTGCGGAAGTCGTTATATGCGTGAGCCGAGATCACCTGATGTACATAATTGAACTAAAAAGTCAGAGTATGAAAGGACTTATCTTACTGCTGTTCAAAGCCTCGTGAAGGAGCTTAGGGCCTTTTCCAGTCGCGATAACCATTGCAGTCTTTGTCTCTGTTTTTTTATCTCGAGCAGATTTGTGTCGGGGCCATCGTTCGAAGGAGATGATATTACCAAAATGGAAGTGCTAACGTTAGTGTGTAATTCAGATTTGGTTTGTACACTAAGGTAGTAAGTGAGATATGGTCCAGAAGCTGCCCCGGGCTGATGGTGACGAAGGTGGTGAGGTCATAAATTCTTCTTGTTGAACGGATCAAGATGGCCGGGAGCACAGAACAAGCCACAGGCTGTAAAGTCGGACGACTCGCGGACCGGCTCACTGTTGTAGGATGGCCAATGGTTTAGGGTAAGGTAGTGTAACAAAGTTGAGTTATCTTCCTCTCGACGGATGATGCTGTCCTTCAGGTCAAGTAGGGGCTGGTTCACAAGCAAATCACGTCGAAAGCTATCAATTTATAATGCGGCAATCAGAAACATCGCCACGACGTTAAAGTGGCAGTTCCCTTAAAACTGAACCCACCTAGCAGTGCGCCCTTCATATTCCCGTCCTTGGTGCTCACTGGGGACTGGATCCAGTCCGTTAAGCGGAAATGGGATGTGCACCTAATTACATGTAAGTACCTACCTTAAGTTCGGATGACTACCTTACTCATGATATGATGTAACGGTTACGACGACTACTCCCCGCAGCCACCGACGCGGGGAGGCCATAATAACGGACGAGGTACACTTCAATGCTCACTGCTGCCTTCGACCTTTTGTTTACCGTGTTGAACAATAATATCAGCAGAGTGCAGCCAGAATCATAGCATCAACATCAGAACCCATAGCCACACTTCTACTTTCAACATGTCTGGCACGGAGAAAGTCTTGGAAGGCATCAAGCACCTCTCCGACACGAACCTTGACACGCTGGTCAAGACGACCTCGTTCAAGGAGGAGCTCGAGGAGGCAAGAACCAACCCCAGTTTCAGCTTGTCGCGCGTCTGTTCCGACACCGAATCACTAATCAACACCCTTGCTCAGGCCATCCGTGGACACATCCATATCGAGCTGCAGAGCTGGTTCTTCTACCGCAAGCTCAGCAACGACTGCTGCCGCTCCAACGTGGCGCTGCACGGGTTCGGCACGTACGTTCCCTCATCGTCTTTACCATTCCTGCTCTCTATCACGCCAAACCAAGCACAAAGGTATACCTTAACTGACAACAGTTAAGGCTCTGGAAGCGCTGCGCCGTCGAATGTCTCGCCGACGCCAACTGGCTCGAGTCGTACCTCGCCCAGCGCGGCGGCCGCTCCAAGCCGACGGCCATCGAGCCGCCCACCGTCGGCTGGCCCGACAGCCCCGTCGATCCAGTCCAGCCGGTGCATGAGGCGCTGAAGGTTGAGAAGAGCCTGCTCGAGGACCTGCAGCGGCTGTGTGAGAAGGCGAACAAGTGGTAAGCTTTTGCTACAGGCGTTGTCAAAGGTACTAAATGATGGCTGACGTGATCTGTGTCATGTAGTGGAGACGGTGCGGCCGAGGACGCCATCCAGTCGCACTTCCTGCGCAAGGAGACGCGCCACGTCAAGGACATGGGCGACTTGCTGCAGCAGTGCGTCCGGGTGAGCAAGCAGGCCGGCCATGGGCTGTATCACCTGGATAAGGAGCTGAGAATGAGTGGGGGCGTGGTGCCGTGGGGCGGGCGGAATGACCCGGACACTATCACCGAGGAGTTGTACAAGGTGAAGGTTTAGTTGGGAGGACCTCACTGAGGGTGATGGCTGGACATGATCAGGGTTGGGATACCTTGAACGTATCGTACATTTACTTCAACCTCTTAAGGGCAGCATCAGATTCGTATTTCAGATGGCTAGTTAGTTGACTAGATACATAATCTGTGGTATCCCCCATTTACCGTGACCTCCACTGGACGTGACCTTGTTCTTAGCTGGTTCAGTTCCGGTTTTACCACTCTGAGTGATACTTGAAGATGTGAACCGGAAGTTGTCATCGCTTACTGTCGCCGCCGGACCACGCTCGTACGCCATGCGCCCTTGAATATCATCGGGTGAGCAGATGGAAACTACTACAGTGCATCAAATAGCCATAGCCAGTCTCTGCGCAGGGCTCGAACGCGTCAGACATGAGTCGGAGCCTGAAGTGCCTCAGCAAGAAATACCCGAAGAACTTGATGTGCAAAGGGGCAACGGGACCAGCGCCATTCTGTGGCGTGCAGTTCCAGTTGGGTTGGCCCGGTGATTGACGGATCCACGGGAAAAGGATGGCAGCGCTCTTTCCCCGAGCACCCAAGCCGTCCCATAGTGAGTATCGGATGGTGTCTTCCTGGGCGACGTAGTCCAAGTGAATAGAAGGTCCCTCGTTATCCCACGGGTAGGAAGGGAAGTCGATGACATGCTCGGTATGGGACACACCAAAGAAGACAATAAGAGCAGGCCGAGCGTCTGAGTCTGCTGCGTTGTTGGGGTCTTCGTCAGACGGTACAGGCATTCTGGGCCGAGCAAAGGCGAATTTGTCCGCCATGATCCAAGAATCTAGAGCATTTGCATGACTTCGCAGACTACCAGATGGGCATCTGGGTGGCTGCCGCTTGTGACACTGGTTACCGGACAGCTAGGGCGGTCGTGATGGCAGCGCCAAGCCCGCTCACAACCCTCTCTGAAGCGCGTTGCCATGGCTTCCTTTGCTTCGGTGTCAGCCAGAATGACTTCAGGAGCCAGTCGCCCATGGGGCCTAAGACAGCTTCCTCCGCCTGGGGTGTCGCGTTTATGTTACAGACAGCAAACTGTTCAAGAAACTTAAGCTGCCACTTGGACGGTACGGACTAGGGTTCGATCTTCTCAAAAGATTTCCAGTCCAGGACGGACCTCGATCTCGTTGACTTGAGTTTGGACATGTGTTCATTGTACGTCCCAGCCAGTGCAGATCCGGCAATGAGAACTCTGTAAACTGTCTTGTGCACACGTGGCCGCCATTCTGGCATCCGCTCAGGCTTCTCCGGGAGCTCATTTCGCTGCCTGTCTCGCGGGTGGTCACGGCAGTATCCGTACTCCCGCCGCAAGTCCAGATCAAGGTCGCTTGCCAGCCAGAAGAGTTTTGAAGACGGCTGTCAACTCAGAGAAGCTGGGCTTGCGGTAGCTGCTGGTGAGTTCTCCGGGCTTGACTCGCATGGGAGGAAGCTCACAGCGGCGCTCGGCGTCGGCAACCATCTCAGTCAGGGAGGCCTATTCAACCAAGAGGATTAGTTCATCGGCTAATCTGAGATCAAGGGTGCTGTTACTCCGTACATGCAGCGATCAATGCCTCCACGACGCATGGAATTTCGTTACCCATCTCCAACCACAAATGAGCAACTGCATGGGTTCGTCCAATGTGATGGAGGAAGCGGCAAGTCGAAGTGAGAGAGAAGGCATCTCTCGCCGACTCGCACGCCTCGACAATGACGATGACGAGCTCGGGCGGTCCGGCCCGAGCAAGAACCTCGGAAGACATCAGAAGCCGATGTGACGCAGATGACCAGTGGTTCGAAGTCTGTCTGCTGAAGACGAGATTGAAGAAAAATCGGGTCGCATGTCGCAGGTGGTTTCACCGGTTTGGTCAGCGGTAACGATGATTGTGCGGGTGAAAAGAAGCTGGTCCGAACTTAGGGTCAATGTGGAGAGCAGTTCTGAGAGTCGACTTACGTCCTAAAAAGAAACAAAAAAATGCTTTATGGGATCGAAAGAAGTGTAGTTAGTTACGGGTTTCAGGTTCTCTGTGAGCTGTGGGCCACGAAAAGAATCAGAGAATAAGGTAGAAACTCAACCACGGGGCAAGAGCGCTCAAAGCGCAACTTCCTCAAAGAGCCACACCTCCAGGCAGCCTCACCGCTCGTTTTCCACATATTTGTATCAACCGGCCAGAATTAAAGATTTTCAGGGGCTTACTTCGCAGATCTGCCGTTGCTCGAGGCCTGATCAGGAGAAGTGATTGGTTTACTCGTGCAATGGGCAGCAGAATTCGCTTCTGAAACTTAAGTTGTACTGTATATAGTTATTTCGAGCTAGTCCTCAACCTGTTTCCCTGTTCTCCCATTGCGTGACATTGTGCTAGAATTTATTGTTTGCTTGCTGGCTTGGGGCAAACCGGGAAAGGCCACAACACGCGGTTGGTCGCTTTCTCAAACCCGACGAGTCGATGACGCCTCAAAAACAGCTTCAAACACCGAACTCAAACGCCCATATGACCAGGAATGAGAGGGCAACCATATCTTACTCCGGGATTACTTTTGCATACATGGACACCCATTGTACGGTCCCTTACTCAGCAGCATCCGCTTCATGGTTCCCTACAAAGTACTCAATTATCGGTCTGATGCTCATGATTGGCCAGGTGTTGTGCTTGTACAAATACCTGTCCATCTCTTGACCTCTTAGCCCATTGCAGTCTGCATCAACCTCGGCCTCTCTTCCGCCGCAATTGATCAAGACACAATCCTCCGGCCCCCCTCATGCTACCTCGCCATTACCACTGGGGGATTTGACAGAGATTCTGGGCTGTCTTTTCCCTCCCGACAGCGATACACGTCCTCCGCACGAACTGGAACGCTTCGCGCATTTTGGGCACGGTGAACTGAGTAGGTACCTACCACACTCGCTACCTTTTCCCTTCTAATAGTCTCTAGTACATCTATGACTACTCAGCCTACCTTATTTGATCACTCGGTCGCTTCTCACTCGCTCTTCCAGCATCCAGGTTCGTCGACCGCGCAATTGTTGCTCGTCTTGAAAAAACCAAGAAAAGATAGAAAAAGATGTTCCAGTCCTCAATGTTGGTCAGGTCGCAACCCACGACTGTTTGACTCGGAACAGAAAGCAAAGCATTGTGTCTTGGATGTCGATGTATCAGGTCAAGTGCCGAGGCCAGAGCTGCCAGACTTCGCCCAGTCACGTCTTGGATCTTGTACGGGATGCAGTTGGCATGGTAACCGCTCTGAATTCACATGTCCTACTTTCTGGAGAGAGCCTTATGCCTGTCAGTGGTCTTGGTGTTGCATAATCACCGTTTCTGTGGTGAAGGTGCGATGATAAAGGAGCAAGGGTTGCGAGGTGGAGAGCAGCGACTTGAAACTTGAATGGCTTAATATTGCCAGTGGTTGTTATGGAGAGGGTATTTGGTCCGTCCATACCTTACTAATGGCGGCGTGGAGTAAATAGATTGGAGGTATCAATATGAAGCTCGTCTGTTGACGAACACCACTCAACTCGTGTTGCTACACTTCTTCACTCCTGGTAGTGTTGGTGCGGTACTTCCCGACATGCGACTCGGACTTAAGCTAGGTAGAGGTAGCTCCCTGTCGTGGATATAACCAGAAAGCCATGTATAAGGTACCTATCCACCCATATGAGTTCATGTCTGTAGGTTAGTTCCTACACGTTCGGTTCTACATGAGTCTGTGGTGTGATTGTACATGATGTCATAGTATTGTCATGACTGTCAACTTTGGAATGTCAAACAGTCAAAGATATCTATTTCACAAGTTCCTCAGTTCCAGCTGAGAACTCCATTACTATTCAATGCAAACTCAAAATTTGCCGAGCTTTGAAATGCGCCCTAACGAGCTTTACACTCACTCCATAGTCCCAGTCAGCGTGAACCATTTTCTTGGCTGCTTTTCGTTTAGGCAAAAGCGGCTACCGGCTCTACTGGACTGTCGACTCTGCCGCCATCCATGACGGTTGGAGATCGACTCTGTTGCATTCCCTGGCCCGCTTGGTTACAAGACCGGTATCTGCGAGGCTAAGGTAAGGTACCTTACTGTCACTACTCCATTGCCTCAGGTAATGTAGGTTGTCACAGTACGATCTTGTCTTACTTTTCTGTCCAAAGGCATGTTGACCATTAATCACTGAAGACATACAGCATGGTCCCCACAAGGCTTGTGTCTGCTGTGCGCCTGTATGTCCCATCTCTTGCCGATCCACCGTCTGGTGACACCCTCCATGGTCACACCATCAAATCTGGCAGGCTCCTATTTGAAGGGACCAATGCCTCAATTTGGAAGCATGCATGCCATGCATGCCATGCATGGATGTGTCTCAATGGGGCGACCCCGGCTCTAGCGGCGCCTTCAGGTTAGAATCTTTGACCGTACCCAAGGAACCGGGAGAAAGTTGGTCTTCTGAGCCCATGTCCTCCACGTGCCGGACCCTCCGCTGCGTGTGCTCGGCCCGCGGGGCAGTGCTGGACAATACCGTTATTGTTCGTGAATTCAGGTACCGATTTTATTAGCGTGATCGGGTTAGGAGCAATCAATGGACATGCGACGATTTGCAAGAAACCAACAACACAACAAAGTCCGAGAGACAGGAAAGTGCTTGTTGGCTCTGACATGCATCCCGAGGCATCGCCGACGACTTTGATTTTTTTGTCATGGAAAGCCCTCCTCCAACAGGCATATCAGCATCGACATTGGTCACCAATATCTAGGCATATGCTGTTGGCGCTAAAACGGAGAGACGGAGGTGTGATTTTCAGCTTGGCAAAATGGCGCGCAGATTTCACTCATAGTGTGCTCGATTTGTTCCAGAAATATTGTGATTGATTGCAATTTGCGTGCCATGTCGGCTGCGAACATCGTACCTGGCGGCTGGGACGGCATCTTCGAGCAGCAAAAAAACAGACCGGACTCTGGAGCTATCAGTGAAGGATTCGGGCGGGGTAACGAAACTGACCCTCCTTGGCAACTGCCAAGGTAGGATTTCGGAAAGCGAGCCAGTGGCCGTTGTCCGGATAAAGCGATTTCGCCTCTGGCTAAATTTGTCGGCCCATCTTCCCGCACTCGTGCCCAAGAATCTAGGATGACAGCAGGGAATCGCAGCCAACACGGGGGGTAACTGGTCGTGGTTGGTTCTGCGGAATGACCAGAAGGAGCCAAAGCCAAGACCGATTTTAACAATCTGGGGTGGGAGGTTGGAGAACCCCGGATGCGGAGAGGTTTGTCGTTTGTGGGGATGGGAAATCGGGGAGGAGGGTCGTCTAAAATACTCTATTCTCAAGGACCGTGGAGTCGAAGGACCTCACGAAGGACCTTTTCTGACAGCAGGCTAGCAACAGCCGGCCATCAAGTACCGGGCGTTGGATCCCTGACGGCGTTACAGCCTTGTCTTCAATGTAACTTCACCACTTGAGCAGGTCCCTGAGGCAAACGGGACACAAATTCGGGTACCAAAGGGTCCGAGAAGCTCGGATTCTGGTGCTGGCGGCCAGGGCGAGGTGCCTCCTTCGGTGGTACTTGGGACTAGCCACATGGAGCTTAACGGCGGGCAAAAGTTCAGGAAAATCTGGTCATCGACAGTCAGCAACCCCTGTCTGCCATGCCAGGACGTCGGATTCCTGTCCCGTCTTCGCGGCCACTTGCAGTCGACTGCAGTGCTTGCCAACCACGGGATTGGCCACTCACAGTCCAGCATACGGGCAGGGCCCGGGAGGAGTACGACCGAGGTTGGCACCGACTGGTGGGTTGTTTGGGGAAGCGGGAGGGCCGAAGCTCGTTAGGGCTCACGCCAAGACACGGGCTGGGGCAACATGGGGTTGCCTGGCAGGATGGGGAAGTTCCCCGGATTCACGGCTCCATCTCCAGAGCGACACGAGGCGGCATCATGGATGGGGTTCACTAGTTTGATACGGAGCAGCAGTTATTTAGCGACGCTTTGCCCCGAGACTCGACAAGCACTCCCGAGTTCCTCTTCCCGCGTCTTCATCCTGAAGAGAGCTGCCAACCCGCCAACATGGACAAAGTCAAAGTCAACGTCGGCTCGACGGCGGACCCCATCGTCACCCGCCTCGTCCAGGAGGACAAGGTCCCGTGGTACAAGAAGCCCAATCTACGGCGCATGTACATCTTCCTCTTCCTCTGCTGCATGGGTGTCGAGATCACGTCGGGCTTCGACTCACAGCTCATCAACACGCTCCAGTTTGCCCCGAGCTTCCACAAGTGTACGTAATCTCTTCTCTCTGCGTTTAAATGGTACCAGATCGGTGCAAATAAACTGACGGCAAGCTTGTAGACCTGGGTGGCGGACGCACCGAAGGGACCAACAAGGATGGCTCGCCAAACTACAAGATTGAGCCCGGCCTGCTCGGCTTCGTCAACTCGTGCTACCAGCTCGGATCCATCTTTGCCGTTCCCGTTGCGCCGTGGTTCGCCCAGAGGTTTGGCCGCCGGTGGTCCATCATGCTCGGCTCCTGGATCATGGTCGCCGGTGCTCTCATCCAGGGGTTCGCCCAGCACGGTATGTGCTTCTTTTCTCCTTCCCAAAATCATGTCGTTGCTGACAAGGTCCCAGTCGCCATGTACATCATCGCCCGCATGATCCTCGGCGTCGGCATCCTGTTCTGCATCATCTCGGGCGCCGCCCTCATCGGCGAGCTCGGCCACCCCAAGGAGCGCGCCATTCTCACGTCGCTGTTCAACTCGTCGTACTTTATCGGCCAAATCACGGCCTCGGCCATTGCCATTGGCACCGAGAAGATGACCGACGACTGGGCCTGGCGTCTGCCCTCGCTGCTCCAGATCTGCCCGTCGCTGCTGCAGATCTGCACCGTCTTTTTCCTGCCCGAGTCGCCGCGCTACCTCATCTCCAAGGACCGGGACGACGACGCGCGCAAGGTCCTCGTCGAGTACCACGCCGAGGGCGACGCCAACTCGGTCCTCGTGCAGGCCGAGATGACGCAGATCCGCGAGACCATCCGGACCGAAATGGAGGTGTCCAAGCAGAGCTGGATGGAGCTGCTCACGTCGGCCGGCATGCGCCGCCGCGTGCTCATCACCGTCTTCATCGGCCTCTTCACCCAAATGTCGGGCAACACGCTGCTCAGCTACTACTCGGGCATCCTCTTTGGCATGATGGGCTTCACCGAGCAGTCGGTCAAGACGCGCATCAACGTCGCCAACGCCTGCTGGTCCCTGCTCAATGCCACTATCATCGCGCTCTTTGTGACGCGCTTCCCGCGCCGCAAGATGTACATGCTCTCGGCCGGCCTGATGTGCGCCGTCTTCATCGGCATCACCGTTTCCCTCGAGCGCATGCAGGTGGCCATTGACGCCAAGACGACCAACGAGTCGGCCGGTATCTCGGGCCTGTTCTGGTACTTTGCCTTCTCGCCCTGCTACAACATCGGCAACAACGCCCTCACCTACACGTACCTGGTCGAGCTGTGGCCCTACTCGCACCGCAGCCGCGGCATCGGCGTCCAGCAGATCTTTGGCAAGCTCGCCGGCTTCTTCTCGACCAACGTCAACTCGATCGCCCTCAGCGCCATCAAGTGGAAGTATCTGGCCATCTACTGCGGCTGGATCTTTTTTGAGCTGCTCATCATCTTTGGCCTCTACCCTGAGACCAGCGGCCGCACCCTCGAGGAGCTTGCATTCTGTACGTCTTTTTCCCCTCTTTCAACGGTCATCACAGTGAAATCACAGAAACTGACTGGCTGTTTCCACAGTGTTCGAGGACAACAGCCTCAACGAGCGGACCACGCAGGCCGTCGAGAAGCAGATCCACTACGGGGATGGCGACAACGTCGAGCACAAGGAAGAGAATGTGGTCACCGAGAAGAGCATGGTGTAGGATGGCTACGGTTGCTTTGATACCATGACGGGAGCAATAGTGCTGAGATGAATTTTTTTGGGTGCTCTAGTATCAGTCTGGCTGGAGGGCTTTGAATCCAAGGGGTCGTCAGTGGTTTTGATCTTGGTAGCGGTCACGCACTGGCTTGCTCTGGATTCATATTTCAATTCGAACGTAATTCCCGAACCGCCCTTACAGCTCCCATGGTATCACAGGTCCGAGCGTACCAAAAACCCGGTTTTCGGTCCGCCAAAAACCGGCGGGTCCTCATTTTCCCCGCCAAATTCGGCTCCGTG